ATCTTTGGTACCCGCCGGGGCCCTCACTGAACGCCATTGACAGCCCCGTAGATTGGGCCAAGGTTTATGAGCGAGTTCACCAGTGGGGGACACAGGCTGGCCAACGGGCTGGGAGAAAGCATCCAGCCCCCAAGGAAGAGGTGGTGGCAAGACAAACCAGGACATATGTTGCATGCATGCAAGGTCAAGCGGTAGGAGACCGACAGAGGCATGAAGCAGGAAGATGTACTGCCTAAAAAACCGGAGAAGAGCGGGTGTATGGATGAGTTGGAAGGAGCATCGTGGGAGTGTGAAGCAGAGTATTATGACTCTGATTGGACAACGGACTGGGAAGAGGAATACGGTGGAGCGCACTGGGCTAGGGATGCGGTGAGCAATAGGTCAACCAAGAAGGAGAGACCCAATGAAGTGGACTAGGCAGAAGACACGGCAAGCGACGGGTCAACCATGAGGGAGAAACCTGGTGTGAGGGGAGCAATGCAACATATTATACATTAGAAAATAGTGAGGCAGCTGGCCATGAACTAGCCTTGTATGTCCACAACGAAAGGTTGAGAATGCATTGTTTGTATAATAGAACAAAAGTGTATTGGTAGTAGGATCAGTGTGTGGGGGAGCCGTTGTGTTTGAGAACACGACAACCTAAGAGCCAGTGGGTCAAAATGGCTGTGGGGTGGCCAGCGGCTGGTGAGGGATTGGGATCTTGCCTTGAGCATAGAAACAACATGACACTTGGGTGATCCATTTGGGCGCGAGAATCTAGAGGGGTGCATAGAACGAGCACAACATTCAAACTATGTTTTTGGCAGTGCCCCTTGGGCTGCCAAATTTCTGCCAAACGGGAAATTACAAATATAGTTGCCCAGCTCATCTTTTGTAGCTCTAAGTTCCATTGCTCCTTAAGACCCAAAGATGCACAACTAGCCCAGAGTTGCCGACAAAGCTCCGCAGTCCCTTACAACTAGTTTTGGAGCCAGCGGAGCTGCCGACGGTGAAGCAGCACTTCGAGGAGACCTGACCCATGACAATAGGCGGTAGGCTCCCAAGGACACGGGACTTGCATAGTATGCCTAGAGGGTGGCACGGCGGGACATCAGGAAGATGTCAACCATGATCTGAGCTCCTAATGCAATGTAAGAGAAGTGCTGAGCGCCAGAGAGTGTCAGCGGAGTGGAAGCTCCAAGGGCACTAAAAGTTGGATATCAAGAAAACGTTGGCTATGTGGCCCATCCTGATGGTATAATTGGAGAAGCTGCTGAGCACTGGAGAACATCAGCAACGAGGCAGCCCCAGGGGCACTAGAGGTTGGACGTCAAGAAAACGTTAGCTATGTGGCCTGCCTAGAGTTTGTTACAGAAAGGGGGTGTTTGGCGTCACCGAACATCTTCAGAACGGCCAGCCCCAAGGTGGTGTTGAAGGAAGGGACTGTGTGAGGGCGACAAGTCACCGTGGCAATTTGGAGAACCGTATGGCTATCAAAACCCAAGAGAACGGGTATGTCGAGTCCCAAAGACAAGAACACAAATTCTTTAAGAAATCACGGTTCAGGAAATTGTGACCAGCCAAAGAGAAAGGCGAGAGGGTGAAGCTGTGAAATGTGGGATACAACACTAGCATAGTAGGCAAATGCAATGGTGGACCACGGTCCACGAAATGCATCTACACAAGAGGCCACGAAGTTGGGCGGAATACAACAAGATATTGGCAAGCTACAAGCAATGGGAAGAGGCGTAAGCAAGGAGAGTAAAGCCACCAGACGCAAGGGGAGCGAATGATGGAATTGACAACTGCAATTGCAAATCAACCAGCAAGATAAATAGAATATGACAACAATAACACAACCTGCTCCGTTTCAAGGGAATGTTAGGTGGAACAAAGCTGCGGGTCCTAGTTGATAGTGGAGCCACTAGAAATTTCAACAATCAAGACTTGCAGAAAGAAAGGCATCCGTTGGAGAGATCCGGTTGAGATGCAGACCTTGCACATGGCTGATAAGTCAACACAACATGAGCCTGAGCGAAAAGCCAGTGCATACAAGGTATGCATCAATGAGTTCAATTACCAGCCTACATTCCAAGTCACCAGCTTGATCTATATAGTGCTATTCTGGGGATGCCATGGTTGCAAAGGCAGAACCCCAAGATCAATTGGGGAGCTAACATGCTCCAAATCAAGAATGGGGACAAAGTGTGGACTCTCTACAGGATCAGAGATATTGAAAAAGACACACAAAAAATCAACGCAGTCATTCTATTAGGCAAAGGCATAACCCAAGCCATAAAAAAAGTTGTCTGGCTTATCGTTTGTAATCCGAAGTTCCATTGCTCCTTGAGACTCGAAGATACACAACTAGCCCGGAGCTGCCAATAAGGCTCTGCAATTCCTTACATCTAGCGAGTGGGATGACCCCTGGGAGGGCTCCCAAACGGGTGAACAGAACACAAACCAAAAACTCAAATTCGAACATGTTTCTGGCAGCGCCCCTAGGGCTGCCAAATTGCCACCTACGGGTAGCTATAAATATAGCTGCCCATCTCCCAATGTTGAATTATGAAGTTACCATTCAAACCTCATCCGGTCTCTACCTCCCTGTCTTGCGTTCACACCCGACCGACTCCCAAATTGAACGGGACCAGCGGGCCATGCCCCGGTCAGTCACAAAGGAGCTCATGGCCCTTGCAACCATTCGGATCGTCGAGGGCTTGTTGAGAGTCGGTTTTGACCGGCTGGGAAGGTAAGTGCGGATAGCAGGGCACTTGGTTGTGTTTTGACAGGGACCAGGGTTAGTCCTTATATTTGACCATCTGCAACTCAGAATGGTGGGTTACCTATAGTGAGGACCTAGGGATGGTTTGGTTTTGGAGTGTATGTTTGCCATCAATAGCTGCTTGCATGAAAGGATACTGAGCGGTAAATATAGTGTCACAATCTAGGGATGGAAACTGATTGCGGGGCTAAAATATATAAGTAGTTACTGATTTATTTTAGTTATTAACCCATATTGATTGAAGCATAGTGTCTTGGAATGTGTAAGCTTGCATGGTATATGCAAGGTTGGGTCACAAACTATACTGAAGTGGCAGTTATGGAATGGTGGACTTGTCAGACTGGGTTTGGCATAATCCATTATATATGTCTGACCAACTCCAATATATAGATAAGCTACAAAACCTAATTTTGGAAGGTGCTGCTATTTATATAATTGAGGACAATATATCCAACTGAGGGACTTCACTTACCACCACTTGTACAACTACACATATGGCGAGAAGCATATTGCTATCATTTTTTAAATCTCGAGTGCAACCAATTGCACAAGAGTACTGGGAACCTGCTTATGCTGGCTTTGTGGTCAAGCGTGTGGAGTACTACTGTTGGAAATACATTAAATGGTCGTCATTTATTGCTGATGTGACGGTGCATATGGTGAATATTTCTTTTTGCGACAGTGCCTAACTACTCTTTTTTGTGACAGTGGATTGTTCCTTTTTGCAACAGTTCCTGGGACTGTTCGTTTTTGTGACAGTGGCCCAGTTGTTCTTCTTTGCAACAGTGGGCATGACTAGAGTGTGGCTTTGGTAGCCACGCGCCAGGAACCAGCCGACCCGGCCAACCCTAAACTCAGTGCTGGGCAACCCGGTCCACTAGACTTGGACCCCTTTCCCTGTCGGCAGCCAACGTCGGGCATGGGGAGGCCGACGATGGGGTCCACGCACAGTCCACAGCCCTAGTTGCATTTTGAGTGCCGCAGCTGGGGCGCATAGTGACTTAGCGTCCACCGATTCGGTGGCACCGAATCGCGCATTGCAGCGGCAGCATGGCACAACCTGGCGGCCGCGACGGCCCGCATTCCACCAACACCCTCCTTGCTCCCCCAACGCAAGGCCCTGCCATCCACTCGGGACGATTGGCCCGCGATCTTCCCCGACCGCGGGTGCTTTTTGACCGGCGACCAAAGACGGCGTGCGGCATCGGGGGCGAAACCTCCCCAGGCGCCGCCGCGACAGCACCCAGGGTGTGAACCGCAATCGGAAAAGGAGAGACGAATGGAGGACGGGCGGGGTATGTCCAGCAGCCGAACCCCCTCGATGCTCGCACCACCAACGATGGCCATTACGCATCGATGCCCGCTCTCCGCAGCTTGTTCCCCCCAGGCCCGCTTTGCCTCCTTGGACCTTGGCGCACACCCAACTTCTTCAACATCACAGACAGGCCAGACCACAGTGGAGGTTTGCCTTCCCAGCCTCCCTGGCTCCCTCCCCCGCCCCCCTCCATCGCCCCCCCCCCCTCTTCGATGGCGTTCAGTGGCGGGGTTCTCTGTCATGCCAACAACCTGAAAGGTGGCTATAAGACACGTCCTGGCGGACTTGTTGCTACCCGGCCAGCCCCCGTTTCAGTCGTCGGCGTGCCCCACGGGGCGGCGAAGCAGGTCACACGTTAGTCATGACCACTGTTGTAAAAAAGAACAACTGGGCCACTATCGCAAAAACAAACAGTCCCGGGCACCGTCGCAAAAAGGAACAATCCATTGTCGCAAAAAAGAGTAGTTTGGCACTGTCGCAGAAAAGAACAATCCACTGTCGCAAAAAAAATAGTAACCGGTGCATATCCAAATGTCTTAAATTTGCGTTCATCTTTGAACATCATTCTTGTTTTTGTCCCCATTTTTGATGATGGTGCTACAGGTCCATGTCGGCCCAAGGCGGCTTGGCCGGTCTGGCGGCCGCTCGGATCTCCGTGAGGGCGGTTGAATTCAGCAAACTTGCTCCACCCAGAATGTCGCCATGAATTTCATATCCGACATCCACATGATCGCCATCCACGTGATCCGCTGCCCCGATACTCACCGGAAGGAGACATCAACCGTGTACTTGCGTACCGTCCACCTTCTCCCGCCACCAGCCAAACCCTTGTGGGGTGGGCCAACGGGCCGTCAGCCCCGCCGCGGCGCCACCGGCCCCCTGAAAGAGAGCGCAGCGCTCTGCGCCACGCGCCCCAACATGCGGGCCCCTTGCGTGAAGACGTTTTCGTTGTGGGATTACGGATGCTATCAGATGCGGGCGGCATTCGACCGCGGCGAGTACGCCGACTTGGCCATCCTCGTGACTCGGATCGACGCCCACGCGCTGAAACTGAAGAAGGTGATGACTCACCGGGCGGTGGTGGCGGCGTGGAGCCCCGTTTTGAGGGAGTTGGTGGATGGCGCAGTGGCCAACGGCCAACCGAGCTGGATACGGCTGGTGGACGTTCCCGACTTCGGAGCGCTCCAGTTGATTTTGGCCGCGTTCTACACGCGGCGCCTCGTGCTGTCGGCTGGCAACGTGTGGGAGACGAGGGAAGGTGCGTCCGCAGGGGTCTTGCCGGTGTGGGTCCGCCGAGACGGGTGGCTGGGCGCCGAGCGGCGCCCGGGACGATCCAGGCACCCGCACCCCTCATGGCGCAGTACGCACTGGGGGGGTGTCATGCATGGGCGTACGGCCAGCCGGGTTTGGCTCCGGCTCTCGTTTGTCGCGGGTTCCGATGAAACGGTTCCCAACGGATCATCAGCCGCCCGTTTTGCTCCGGCGCAGTACACTTGGCGACATCGCCATGCGCATCTAAGCGACCATTCATGTGGATTGCGAGCACGGCATAACAGTTTATTTTGCCTGTGGGAGGGTGTGTGGCACTGGCGGGAAAGCGCACAATCCTACCCCCCAGTTCTGGCATGGAAGCTGTTGGCCGCGCGCAAACCGAATGCACGAATATATTCTGTGAAATGGCATTTCAGCCTTTCAACCTGAGCGCATTCATCTCGATTTCTTCATCACGTTCGTCTGGAAGAACGGTAGAACAGCAGATCTACTGTCAGCACACAGCGTGCATGCTGCCCATCGTTCTTCACTGTTTGCAAGTGTAAGCATGCAGGGCCACATGTGCAGCTGTGCTTGCAAGACCACAATGTGCGCAGGCTTGGCACCCATCGCTCCATGTCGTCTGAGCTTCTTTAGCGAACATATTGCTCCAGAGCTTTCGCTGGAGTCGGATACTAGACACTGGGCATGGTTAGGAAACAAATTTCGACATTAAGGAATTCACATCTAGAGCCCTAAGTGCAAGCAACACGAATGCAGTGTGCATTGCCAACAAGAAAAGTGCTCCATCGACAAATGGCGCCTTGCTCGACGGACATCAAGCATCGGTATCGTCATTGCATCTTCTGCGGGCTCAAAGCAATTGCCATTTTATCGATTTCCCGGATCTGAGCATTTGGCTGTCGACAGGAGTACACGCTTTCACCCGCGAGAACTGGCCTGCGGAACAAGGCTAAAACCACACGACTTTGACGTCATGATCGTACGTCATGATGTATGCTTATTGTCATTAGCGCGCATTTTGGACCACAAACCAAGTTTCACAGGGTACGAAATCTGTTCACCTTGGGACTGGGAACGACAGTACTTTATCCTACCCACCGGTTCTTTGGCTCAAACGAGGCCCGCTGAATCTGAGGCATGGACATGTGTCTCCTCTTCCAGTGGCCGCCTATCTTGCCGTGGAGCCGATCGTCAACATTTGCGACATGTTCTTGAAGCGGCACGCCAGCGCACGCAACTGCGTGAAGTGGCTCCAGCACGCGCAGAAATTCGGCAACAGGGAGCTTGAAGAAGACCTGCAGCGTATCATCATCCGATCCTTCAACGCCATTAAGGACACCGAGGCCTTCCTCCGGCTGGACAGCGTCACCCTTCTCGCACTCCTGGAGTCGCACGAGCTGCGCTGCACCGCTGCATCTGAGCTGTCTGTGCTCAAGGCGGCCATGCGTTGGGTGGAACACCACGCCTGGCGTCGCCACCTGCTGCCCAATGTCCTGTCGCGGATTCGCTTCAACCTGTTGGAGGAGGAGGATAGGTCCAGGCTTGCGAGCGGGGAGCACGGCTTCCAGGCGTTGCTGGGGGAGGAGCAGAGGGCGGTATTGGCCGCGAAGATGGAACAAGCGCTGGAGGGCATCCCCAGGAGGGGCGCCATTAGGTGCACCACGACGCTGATAAGCAAAGTGCCATTTTACGCAAATTCGTTCCGCGTTGGAGAATGCGATGCGTTGCTGCAAAGTACTGTATGGCATGCGTCCCGTGCGCTTGTTGATTATGGTGTATTCGTCGCCAAGCGCGTATTCCCAATATTTTACTGGCGATTTGTATTGTGCGGTGGACCCCTCGATGGCGAAAATGACGCAGCCCTTTTTGACGTTGATCGCTGACCAAATTGCGTCATGATGTGGGTGAGTTGTTGCGGATCCATTGTAGTAGTTTATTTTTTGAGGCGGTCGTTTCGGATCATTTCTCTACAGTGGCTCTACCTAAACACCAAATCGTTTCAAATTCATGATTGAGTCAGCTGAGGTAACGTGAAAATCCCGTTGATGAGGCGGAGGCTTCTTTCAACTCAGTCCACGGGCGAAGGTACCTTCTTGTTGGGGAGCCATTGCTGCTTTCATATCCACAGTTTCACGCTGCTGTACAACAGGATTCACAAACCCAAAGAAGATAAAACAGCCGGTACGGCAGCATCGCACACTGCAATGCCGGGATTATGGATTCAACCACTGTATATACAGTCATATATGGCGTCATAAAAACACTGCTCCACCTGCTAGTATAACCACATTTGTTGGCCTTGAGATAAACGGCGCAGAAGTCACGTTGTATCAATAGCATAATATCCTTTTTTCAGGAATTACTCATCTTTGCCCATCGTTGCGATCAGGCGGGGCGTGCAAATCAACACACCCCTCGGCGACATTGTTCAAGGCGGGTGGAAGCTTGTGTACGCGCAGCCGTACAGCGCCCGCACATTGTCGGGCGATCTGGAGGGCTGCAAGGGCGACTTCCTGTTGGTGGGGGCGTGCCGCAAACAGGAGCTGATGCTGCCCGTTTGCGCAATGGGCCGGAGGGACTCCGTACTTCGGGTGGTGGGCCCCCAGCAGATCACTTTTGAGAATGGTGTTTACTGGTACAACAGGCCTGGGGCGGCCTTTGGATTTGGAACCACTCCGTACATTGGCGCTGGAGGGGAGGGAAACAATGAGGGGGATCAGAACAAGCGCTTGAGCTGGCGTTTGCATCAGGACGAGGACGGCGACGGTGGAGAACCTGGGTCAGATCCTGCTTTGTCGCCGGCGTTGGAGTCTTCAAGGGCCGGGGAAGCCAAGGATCTGGACGAGTCCACGAAATGGATGAAGGTCATTTTCAGCCTTTGTGTACGTGCTTTGTAGCTCGCTAGCAGGGGATTCACATTGTGTAACCTTCATTGTGGAAAGCTGATTTTTCAACTGAATTTGCACCGCATTTCAGCGGTGTTAAGTTTCTCGAACTGCGCGCTTCCAGATTGATGTCAGCGTTGAATACGCCATGTGTCTAAACGGTATGCTCTAATCGCAGCAGCGTTTCTGAGGGAATTGTTTTCTCTGCAATATCACATGTTGGCATTGTCCATATTGGAAGTAAAAATTATGACCCAAACCGACTCCAAGCCTTGAGGTGCTGCTTGCTGCAAGTACATCGTGGTCACTTAAGATTTTCTATCTTGCCATATGTACACAAAGAAAGCATGCTTGTGGGGATCTGACTGTAATGGATATCGGCCCCCTCAATCCTTTAGCGGTGTTCTGGCGAATCTCAGCAGTTCAGGAAACGTTACCTTCGTGGATCTGATGGACTCCAACGTATTGTAGCTACGTACAAGCAGTATTGCCGACTACGTTCTAGCGCCGTACATAACCCAGATATTTGTGGCTTTAGATGAGCAAAGCGGGTTGAGTGCGCAAAGCGAACAGGCCGGAGAGCGCAAAGGAGCGCCCCGACCCTTCGACGCATGAGCCGTCTCGACTATTTTGTTCCGATGCAAGATGACTCGATGCCGGCCACTGGACTGGCTACGCATCACAACACCAACACACTTCAGAGAGTGGCCTGAATCGAACGGCCAGGGCAGCCCCAGATACCACTGCGGATGCCACCGACATAGGAGCTGCCGACAGTGGTGGCCGGCGTCAGCAAATCGTCAACGCGGAATGGAGGCCCTCACTGTCACGCCGCACAAACACTGTGCGCAACAGAGTTGGCCCCGATGTCCTTTGGACAAAGAGGCAAACCGCGAGATCGGAAGTTGTTGTAACTGCCGACGCAGGGGGTATCGGGGCCACAAACTGCAGCCCATACGCTTCCGCTATTCTCCCTCGGTGGCCTCCTCCCTTGCGCTGCGTTCTGCCCGTCGGCGGCACAAACAAGCCCGTGACAACGATGACCAGCACGCTGCATCTGCACGTGCACAGCGCCACCGGCAGCAAAGTCCACAGCCTGGTAAACGGCGTGCTGGTGGGGAGGGTGGGATAGTGCCGTTAGGTCATCAGTGGGTAGCTGCTCGTACATCTTTCAATGGAGCACCAGAGGTGGCCGCTACAACGCTCGCTGATCACTACAAATTTGTGAACAGCGCATGAGAATTAGTACTTTGGAGGCGCCGCTTCGGCGCTTGCGCGGAAGCAAGAATGCGATCTTCTGATATGCAATATCATATACGCCCGTATGGCAGCGCATCGATCGCAGAAATGCAGTGCTGGCTTTTTTCAATGGAATAAAGCATCGGTTATTTTCATTCAAGCCGTTTTCAGTACGGGTAGTGCACTGCAGCATCATGCTTGCAATAAATGTCCCATTTCGTGCATTCGGATGTGCGCCATTTGCAAAAAGTCAATGCGATGGACTGGAAAATCTCAACGTACTGTGAGCAGGGTGCGTTATATGTGCGCTTGAATGTAGGGTTTTCACTGTTGTCCCGGATGACGTTGCAGCTTGTGGAAGTGCAAGATACGGTGGACGCAATCAAGAAGCGCTTGGAGAAACTGGAAGGTGGATGGGTGGATGGCTGAGACAAGCAAAACCTGTGCGCCACTGCGTACGCCAGTCAATTCCATTGACTGCACTGATGCCACACTGGTCCTTCAGCTTGAGGATCTAGCGGAAGCATTGCCGTTGAGAAGGCTCCTTCATTAAAACACACTATCCCTCGAGTCGCAAAGATAGGCGACAGCCCACGATATGGCCCTTTCAATTTCGAAGAATTTAAAGCCTTACCTTGCTCCCCTCCATCACAAGTCTCCCAACTTCAGCAACAAAAACAATCGAAAGCCTCCAACCATAAGGTTACTCCATTCACGCCCCACATCTTGGAATCCAAGATGGATTAGGACAGGACGGATAGGACATCCGATGTCCTATTTAACACAAAACATGATTTAAGGACTTCATGGGGAGACGCACTCTCTTCCTACAGCGAATTAAAGTGCATGCATCCGTGGATAGCTGGTGCGTTCGCAAAACGTCACCGCATAACTGGTTCGTTTAGTATAGGCGGCGGAAAATATGCGGCACGTGGCGTCACCCACAATGGACATTGTGTCTCGTGCTGTTGAGGCGCCCGCCATTACTGTGCACATATTGCAGAAATGAATTATCGCTTACCAGTAGGTGTTGAGCACGCGGCCTATGATATCATTCGACAGCCACGTGGCTCTTGTGCACAAGAGCTGTGCTATTGGCTTTGCACTGCCGCAATACGCAAGCGGCATGAAAATCAAATTCTGCATTCGCTCATCCAACGTCTGGCGCACGCGCCCCTTGTACTTAATTTACTTTCAACCGATTTCGCAGCTTGTCAACCCCACGCCGCTAGACGCAATATTAGCGCGAGCGCAGTAAAATATTGCTGGATGCAAATTACGCCCATCAAATCTTTGAATCACATGTTAATGGGTGTATAGGAATTCCGCCGGAACAGCAGCTTTTGCTTCATGCGGGTCAAGAACTCAATGGACCAATTCCACTTGAAGATTATCATATCAACAAATTCAATTTGAGCAACGAGGTACGCTGCATCTGGCACAGAGGTGAAATGGACGAATTCAAACATTGAGAAGCATTTTAAATCCACTTGATTTAATATTGTTGTATCATATATTCTCAAAAATCAGTCAAGCGCTTTCTCAGTTTTTCATGGTGCATTCTGTGAGTTAGCAACGACTGGATGCATCAATAGATGAAGAGCAAAGAAATGGAGGAGGGCGATACTTACAAGTTGCTAATTAAAGATGAATAAACACAATTTTTTGAAGCCGCCTAAAGCGTTGTCCTGCAGCCATTTTGTTGGAATCCAAAACGGCGCATTTTTCAGTCAACATAATGCAGCCAGTTTCAAGCAACATAATTCCGAAAGCGAATCCATTGGATTTGGTTGGGCTGACAGGCAATGAGCGCACAATTGACAGCTCTGTTGGATCTTACAAAGCCTGTTAAAAATGTTTCGGCAGCGAGGTCATAGCTCAAGCGAGTTGTTGAAATTTGCTTTCAGGTACATCTCTACATGCACACGAGGATGGCAAGGCCCACGCTCATCTATCTGGGCTCCCCCGGACCTTCCAAAAATCTCACTGCTGTCACGGTGGAGATGACCACCACCATGCAGGATGTCGTGGGTCTTGTGGTCGCGAGGGGTCTCACCAATGGTAGAGCATTCAGCGAAGATTACGTCATTGTACCGAAGAGACCAGACGGAACGTCCATCAAGGTGGTACCGCCATGCATGGGGAATTTTTGTTCCTAGATGAAGTGCTCAAACGACATTTAGATGCGCGATATTTAGTATTCTATTCCAATCTAAGAGTTTATTAATTTGGAATTAAATTTGTGTTAATCTGAATTTCGATGAGCTGTGTCTTTTAATAGTCATAGAGAAATTTGTCGCTCGTTCGACGTCACCATGCTATATTCTGGAGCAACATCTTAGCGCCCTCCAGCAGTCTCCAGCTTTTGCAACAAAAACTGGCAGTCGGCTCAAATGCTGTAGACAATTCCCACTTAAAAGCCTCACAGAAGCAGTGGCGTAACAATTCCACGAATACGTGCAATTTATCTCCGACATCCTTATATAAAACATGATATTGTAATGTGACAGTTTCTGCTACTGGCGTGCGCAGTTAGATCTCCACAAGGCGGACACCATCGAACGTGTGATTGAGTCCATTGGAGCATTGGAGGTGATGCAGCGTCACCAGTCCATGGCACTATCTTCGTATATAGTACTTAGTCCAGATGTGCATCTGGATCCGTATTTTGGCACTCAAATCAATGGAAGTTCTGCATATCTGCAATCTTCGATTGCTGTTTTGATTGTTAGCGCCCCTTCTTTCGCTCTTGCGGTAGCAATCCGGCAACATGAGCAAAATAGCGTACTTCATTTGGAAGGTTCGTGCCATCGATTCGTTGCCTGAAATCAATGTTTCCTGTTGCCTGTGAGACGAAGTTCGCCGATGAAACCGCAAACTTGCAACGCATTTTCGTACCCGCACGTTATGTACTCCCTCCATCCGGAAGTAAATGAAAAAATTTGTTTAAAAGGCACTACTTACACACTTGATATGTACTGCCAAACTTTGCTAGTCAATGGATAAGTACCGGACACATGGCAGTACTTTGAATCTTTGTGATTCATGCTAAAAAGTCGAGGCCTCTCAAGGTGTGGCCGAACAGCTTCCAAACGGGTCCTTGACCAGGTCGCCTTGCGACTGACGGTGCATATCTCAGAATGGACATATGTTGCTGCCGTCTTGGCGGCAGTTCGAAACCGTTCCTCCCAAAGGAGGAAGACCACCTAACCGGGTTCTGTACCTCTCGATCCTTGATCGCCACAGTAGTTTTGATTGCCTGATGAGGACAGCAGCTCCAGAACGGAGACCCATGAATCTGCGAGCTTCACAATCACGGCATTTCCAAAAAGGGCCGCCACCATGGGCGAGGTCGCCATGGGTGCTACGGCCACCACGGAAAGTTTGGGAGAATGTGATCGCGCCCTCGCTGTGTGGCAGCCAGAAGATCGTTGAAATTGGCTGTGGTGGGCACGTGCCGCGAGAAACACTTTGCGCGCCATTCACGCCACTTTTAAGGGCGCCGCTGCAATGGAGCTTCACCCGTGCAATCGCATGACGCAAGAACACCAACATAGCGACACGTGGGGTCTTTGATAGAGCATCCAAACCCTCCATTGTCATATTCGGCGGGGTTGATGCCTGTTTGGAAAGAAGGTTTGATTGGATCAGGCAGGCACTTAATTGGAGATCTGTGCTGAACGCATAGCTTATGTTGCACGCAAATATCCCAAGGCTACTATCCAGCCACCATGAGAACTTTAGGCAGTGGGGGACCCCAGGCATGTCGATGTGCTGCCGTGGAAGATGGGGATTTTGAGCATACATCGATGGTGGCACGCAGACCTAGGCGCCATTTCTGTCTATCATGCATTGTGAAGGGTGTCGATCTTTGGGTTAGAGTCCGAATGCCGAGGCAACGCCCCCTTCCAATACTGTGAAAACCACTGGAGGGGGCATCGCTCATGCGCCAGTCCTTTGCGGGGTCCAGAACGCGAGGGGTGAGGTTTTGGTGGGGTGGGGGACTGAGTGCGAATGTTCAAATTCTGGTGCTGAGTCGTTCCAATTCAAAGTACTACCATATGCCTGAATCTAATTTTCTGTCGATGAATTTTGGATGGCATTGTCTAAACACATAGTAGATACCCGGGTCCAATTTCAAAAGAAAATTAAAAAGCAGAGGACAAGAATACGGGCAGTTAACAAAATCTTCCATTTAATACCGGACGGAGGAAGTATAATGTGCGTGGATACGCCATTGCTTTCAGCAGTTGTTGGGCTAATCTTGGAAATGCGGTCACAAATGTAACTAAAGTGCACAAAAGTGTTGTGTACATAGGCGCAATATATACTTCATCATGCGTTCAGAATGGAGAATGCCTCTTGCGAATTGTTGAGATTGCGTCGTAACCACGGATTTGGTGCCATTTCCTCCAGCGACATGCTTGGCAATCCAATACTCATTTTTAATGGTGGACACGAAGCCCCTGGCATAATTTGACACAACATTTAAGATGCGAGGATGTGCAGATCATTTACGCACAGCAGTGAGGAGAATGCACCATTCAAATGAGTCGAGATTGGCCATCAGCGTTTCTAGAGGGCCGATGAATCATCTCAAAATGCATCCACCTTCGCTGTGAGTACGATGGTCTTGGTTGCTATGCCACTCTTCCAGGCGAGCGAAATGCTGTGCTCCGCAAATTGAACAGTGACAACCTTTTGCCCCAACAAGAAGTGTTGTTGTCTTGTGAGTTTCAGGGCTGCGATCCACGCCACCTGGTGTTTTCCCAGTCGCCGGATGGGCACCTGTGCATGAATGCGACTCTTCGGGTTCCCATTATCTCAGCCGACTGCTACACAGCCTACAAGAGATACGCCATGCCACAACCCATGATGCTGGTACGATTGATGCATCACTTGCGCAGTAGGCCACTAAAATGGTCAATAAGTTGTCAGTCAATTTGGACAGGGGATAGCACCTTTAAGAGTGTGTGCACAGATATGACTTCAGATCTTCTTTCCTATGATTATTGCTTCGCTGGGCTCATGTGAATATTACAGTAAATGGAGGCAGTGAGCTGTAACGCAGGCTGTTATTAACTTTGCTGGTCTGAAAATGCTCCATCCATTCCTATCTGAGCTGTGCAAAGCTGACGAGACTGATCAAATCTCATGAGATGTACAAATGCATTGGCCAGACTCTGGTCAAGAGCTTCGCTGTCCTGACAAAGCCTCTTGCCTGTGCCTCGCAGAAGAAACATCCTTCACAAGGGCAATCTTTCAGCGACTTTACCAAAGAGCTGTGCATTTGCCCCTGCAAATCCTTTGATAACATCCAATCGGATGAACCAAACCCGGAACGTGAAATGTTATGAAGTGCTGAAGGCCAGCATATTCTGTTTTTTTTTTTTTTCTGGATTGAGACCTTCTACCGAATATTTCGAGTTACAATTCGGGGGAACATATAATGTACAACCTTGGGTCAGACTGTTTCCAGTGGGACCAGGGAGCATGCTCAGACACACGAACGTTTGCGAGGCAACTAACACAAGAACTTTGGTCACATAATATGAAAGTCCTATTGGCTCGAGGCAACATCAACGTTTTTCCACACTTCGTGGCACATAATTGAGATTGATTGTGTACAGAACCGATAGTCAGATTTTGAGGGCAGATGTCAAATGACATACTTCAATTTCAGTGGTCCACAGAGGCGGTGAAATTGTTTTAGATCGACAACAGTTGATGGCCTTTTTTTTCCAGACCAAAAGTAGATACTTCGATGCATTCACATGCATTTTTGCATGTTTCAAACATACATTGGTCTTAGGAATTGGGCGCCATGATTATATCTCATCTGAATCGCAGTACAATCATCATTTGGGAATTGCATCCAAGTTCTTGAACAGAAAACATTGCAGGAGAAAGAGACGGCGCAATGTCCAATTCGCTACTTGAAGCGATGCAATTTAAATCCAACAGTAGCACCCACTGATGGCAGCAATGATGGCAGTCGGAAGCATATCTATCAGAGAAAGTCTGAAGTGTTTTAGCCGCCTTTTCAGCAATAAAAGCTGAAGTCCCGTGGACAGAATGGACACCACCTGTGTGGCCATAATAAGTCCTAAAGGACCCCACTGCAAGTGTGAAACGCATAACCAATCTAGCGCTACATTGAGCACAACAGCAAGGGCATCCACCGCCAGAGGGGAGCGGGGATCGCCCAGTATGAGGCATCCGTGCAGCGAGACATCACGTACAGCCCTGGCAGAGCAACCTGTTGACAAAACAAACAGTTTACTAACACTTCCATTGTATTACTAAACCATACCTCTCAGTGCATAAAGGCAGATTTTTGGATTTGCCAAAGCAAGGATGCCAAAATTTGGCATTAAAGCCAGCTTTAGTTCCACGATGTGCAGAATTGTGTGTTCAGTTTATATCGTTAAGAGATGTCTCATTCTGAAGTCCTTTTCCATTCTTATTCTATAAAAGTGCGCAACACGTTTTTGTGTTATGAATAAATATCCATGCATGGAAACACCGAAGCGGTTGCTCCACGGTGATTCAATCCATGAATGCTGGTCACTGGCACTAAAATGTATTTCAAGATTGGTTTCAGAAAAATATCAAGACCTTTGTGGGAATTATAGGAAAATTCCATTCTTTGTATATTGTCATATGCAGCATTTCCCTGACGGAAATGATTTGCGACTGAGATGAAAGACCGCATGAGTACACAAACATTCCATCTATATTTCGCCCATGAAGGAAACATCAACGTTATTGGAAAATCTACTTGATCGCAGAGTTGCTGCAGAAGAGCAACTTCGAAATCGATTGGCTCTCATTTTTCTTAAGCAAAACATGCACTGTCCAAAAGTTGCCGGGATCCAATTTCCACTCACAGGAGACAACGAAAGCGAAGTTTGGCTTTCATGCTGGGGTAAGGAAAATTCACAGTCAAATCTCTAGCCATATTGCTCACAGTCAAAAATTTGATCTCTCGCAATCTCACCAGACAAACTATGACCAGTTCTCAAGTGCCACCGTTAGTAATATGTTTCCACCAACTTGAGCAACTGCCACCAGCAGCGGCAACATTTTGCTGGTACATGGCTGTCGTCCACACTGACCAGCGACGCTCGCGGCCATCAACTTGGCAACTTGAGAAGCCCCTCCCCCCGTGGTTATTCCCCCTGCGTTCAAAAAACATGCCAGGACGGGTGCAAGGGCCACCAAAGCCGCCCCTGCAGCCGCGGTGCTGAAGGCCACAACCACCAAAGATCGGCGAAGTCGCCTTGCGAGGTCGGCGGGCGACCTGGAGTTGGCCATCCATGGAGTCAGATGAGTCATGAGGGCTGTGCTGACAAGACCAATGGGCGATGCCGCGAGCAGGGTGCCACCTCCCATAAGCACAGCGGCGCCTGTCAGCGCCACACATGGCATTTACGGACGCCGTTCTGTCAACTGAAATGTCTTGACAGGGGCGAACGGTGTCCATTAGGTATGAATGGGTGCAGGGCTGGCTACTTTGCAGCAATTGGTTGCAGCTTTCTTCTCAAAGTCAAAGGGTGCATCCATGGGAAGCCAAAAATGCAAGACCTGCTGGAGCCTTTGCTGGTCATGTGATTGTGTGATTCTAAAGAATGGTTGCACATCCAGTATATTGGAAACTCTGGCAGTGCGCTCCATGGTAACAATACACACACACGCATGCACATGCACTGGAATGAAAATGCCCGAAGAAGGCATTTATTCATTATTTCTGGTGTTCATGGAATGCATTTCAAATCAAGGAAAAGCACTGCAACAAATGGCTCCAATTTGTGTGACAGATTTCTGAACATGCTTCTTCATGGAAACAACAGCCATTTCGAAACAGGCAAATTACGATGCACCACACTCAGCACTGACCCTCTGTGAATGATGCGAACCGCATGTCTGTGTAGGCCATGATCTTTTGGGAAACAGTCGCCGCCGCTGCTGCCACCATCAGGTGCATACAGCCCCAAATGCCAGCCCACGCGGCTTCATCACCTCCCCGCGGCTTCCTGTCCTTGGATCTGGGACGAATTCCAGTGCCAAAGGACACGGACAGGCACTGCGCAATTGCACCCGCCAAGGCCGCCAGGGCTAAGCAGTGTCCCCCATTCGTCTGCGCTGCTCCGGGAAATTATGTTGCAGACGTTGTGTCATTCTTAGTGAATTTCGCAGTAACCAATAACGAATCTTGGGGTTGCAAAAACTATAGTTCTGGATAAGATTGCTTGTTTTGACCAGGACAAAGCAGGCTTTCATGTTGTGTGGATAGCATCTTATGCGCAATAGCAATTTCAATCTCAATCGGACAAATCCCACAAATCGAAATATAGATGTCATTGCATTTCTAAGACGCTGCTGGTTTGAATCTATTCAAGCACATCATTCCAGAGGTTGACGTTGTCAATAGTATATGCCACAAAATTCCATTAAGGCAGTCCAATCAATGAACTGAAAGGACATGGTGAGCTCACAAAGCATCCAGGAAGCGTAAGGGCAAGAAGATATGATATTCGGAGCTCACACAGAAAAAAAAGCTAACAGGAAATATTAGACACATTGATCTGGATCAATACCGCATGGTGGCGTGACAGAATGCTCGGGATGCTCTTACCTTCAAAGGTACCGCTTTTCAAGTCCATGGAACCATTTGCGATTCCAACGACCCCCACAATCGTCAAATTAGGCCACGATGCAAACAGTGCGGCAGGGATCATCCTCCTGCGCATGGAATGAATGGCCAGTCCAATACCTGATGTGCCTGGGACAAGGAAAATGCATTGCTTGATCCAAACAACGTACTGGTTTCTGCACACAACTTTTTCATCATCTTCTGAAGCACACATTTCTCAACAACGCAACAATTGATCAGCACAGCCATGGCAAATTCTACTCAATACAAACACAAAGAACTGTATGAGAACTGTATGATCAACAGCATTGGTCTGGGATTCACACCAAGCATGGCCTCCAAGGTGCAAGGGCAGTGTTTTGTCACGCTTACGTGAAAAATGTATGCAAAGGGAGCAAATTTAAACAAGCACAAAGTATGCATGAAAACTTTCCTGGGAACTTTCGAAGATGAGAGAATTCATACATTGCCAGGGGAAGGTGGGGAGCCGAATGTGACGCAAAGTTGTCCAGGATGTTCGGGATCAAGTGCCTTCAGGAGAAAAGCGAACAACAGCAAACGAAGCACGGTCTATTGCTCAAAAAGTTACCTGTAATTGCTGTGATAGGGGCTAGCATCTTCATTTGTTCAATTGCTAGCAACCTCGTGTCTGGTCTTGATGCAAGCCCAGGTGCAAGCAAGTCCACAAGATGAGTAGCACAGGACCAAACAAACAGGCTGAGCAATCCCGAGAAGATGGTCAGCACTAGGCGCAGCTTTCCCAGCAAAGATGCAGAAGCTTCTGGAGACCTGAGAAACGAAATATTATCTCTTGAATCCTTTTCCAGTGGCTGGAAAATGGACACATGCAGTACTTTAGACAGCAGTCATTCTATGGCGTCTTGTGCTGTGACAATTAATATGACAAATTCGGGGAATCAGTTGAGGGAAATTTGATACCGTAAAACGTCTGTGATTAAAGAGGGAATGACACTTTGCATGCCAGATGACATGCACCCGCTGGCATAATTGATTACAGCATTGGTTCATGAGATGAGAATATAGTCAATCTAGTGACCTGGTGATTTTGTGTATCCAATATGGCTGCTTCGGAATAGATCAATTTATTGATGAAGTCCATTGATCAAACACTGCACAGCGGCTGGCAATACACGCACGTGCAGCTTGATGAGCCCAGGATCAACAAGAATGAGCGGCATTAATAAGGGAAGACACTATGTTGATTTTCGTACGCTTAGCGTCAAATTGCCGCTAGGGGGGGGGGCCCACCCGTGACGCTAAGATTATGTAATTAAAAACCCCGATGACAAGTGGTAAAGAACCCGCGACATGTTCTTAAGGCTCTTCCAGGTGTTTGATCTACAAAGAAATCCTTAGAGTGGATCAATTTGCAGCCATTGAGGCTGCCTGCCTCACCTAGAATGGCATTTAGAATCCAATTTTTAAACCCGCTAAAATCAGCAGAACTTTGATTGTTTTATTCCTTAAAAACACCTGGAAATTGAATACCACTGTTAGGTAATGTTGCTGAATCATCCTGGCTTCGACATAAGGATTGATGCAAAGGGTTTTGGGGGTAGGGGGTGGGGTGGGGTGGGGTCCGAGCTTCACGCCAAATTGACGCTAAGCGTACCAAAATCGGCATAGTTTCTTCCCTAACCGCAAGCAGAGTCAAGAAAATAACATACCCCGGAGGGCGATAATTGGGATTTGATACAGCCAGATTCATTCAAAGTCGGCACTCACTTTCTTGACGCAGAGACCACGGCTGCGACGTGCATCGGCCCGTTGGGTGCTGCCAAGACTGCGGCAAAGAGGTCGGGGGGCTGCGAAGCGAACTTGTGCGCCTCAAGCAACGATCCCGCCCCAAGCGTCGCCAGCAGTGCCATTTCACGACAAAGACCGCACAGCTTACAGAAAAGTAGACCACCAGCGACGACTGCGGTCTTCGTTACGATAGACTTCTGGAGAGAGCCTGTTATTTAATCGGGCATCTTAACTCAATGCTGCTTCTTAAAGCTGGACTGAATGCCGCATGACAGCACGGGCAGCAATGCATTGACTGAAAGGAACACTGGCGGGGGGCGGAGGCAGTTCCCCTCCCCTCAGCAACCACCAGAACGCCTCTGTTTGCGATCTTGCTTTTGCATCGCCTCTGTCCTAATTCCCATCTTTTGGCCGGCGCCAGGTCCGTCATGGACCTCCTGCCTACCACCCACCCGGACCTCCTCCCCCATCCTGCGGCACACCCCGCCCTTCGCCTGTTGGCCAAAACCACAACCGCCCGTTCCTGCCCGCGACAGGTGACGTACCCACGCAAGCACCCACCGGTCTCGCCTCTGGGCTTCATATCCGTCTCCAACCGTCCTCCAGGCGCCCCGTCCTCCCGGCGAAGCGCCGAGAAGATGAGACAGGCGTAACGCTCAGAGTCTGCCCGCTTGAGTCGTCCGAAGGCAGCGAGGCCGAGACGGCGGACGGGGGGCAACGGGCAGTACCTCGCGCGCTCCGCAAGGCTGCCCTCCCTGCGCGCCACACCCCGGGTGGGGTGGCAGAGCGCTGTTGCGCCCATTTTCCTTCCTGCAACTGTCGTTATGCGGCCCCATTTCGTGCAGCACCACAGCAGTGTTCAGCCAGTCAGATTTGCCAGAAACAGCGTATCTGTCACCATTGGCACTGCATAAATTGTCTCCTTCTTTGGGGGCGGACATGCGACACATTTCAACCAATCGAAGACAACTGCATCCTGGGAACCAGCAAGTATCCTTCACTCCCATAGCCCGGCTCAGATGTTCCGTGAGGGCATGGCTCGAAGACAGAGGCCAGGATTTGACCTTTTGGGCGTCGTGTCCATGGCTGTGCGTATGACAAGCTGAACCAGGAGCGATTCTGTCCAGGAGCATGCCAGTGGCCTCTGGACCCTTTGGGAACGGGTCAATCATCGCCGCGCACTGAACCCACGGTTGCCGACTTCTATTGGCGCACAGGACAGGGGGCCCAAGAGTGTAATATCGAAACCCACGGACACACCCTTTGGGGCCAGTTGCGATTTCTGTGCTGAAGTACTCAATTTGGTAGGTTTTCTAACAGAATCATTGATAAGACTTGCGCAAGACAGCCTCATGTTGCCAAAATGGGCGGCTCACCCACGGCATGTGCTCAGAATTAACCCCCAAAACTTCATTCACGAAGGGTGCTTTTCAATACTCGATTTTTCCGTCATCGCGATGGATGGACGTTCCCCATGAAAACGCAATGTGGGCATAATCTCAACTTCTTTTTCTTGGTGTGTAAATAGGGAACCCCATCCCGAACCGAGGTGAAAGATAAATCCATATAATGAATGCAATGACTCATCCTGTTGAACTGAAGGCTGGCAGCCTTCAGGTATTGCAGCAATGAATTGAAATGAATTGAAATGAGCGCATCCCCGATTGTGAGTAACCTAAATCATGGTGCACCATGTGGATGGCCAAATGCGCGACATGCTAGAAAATGTGCTACAATGATGTTCACGATGATGCAATTCGGCTGCATGTTTGCCCCATATGCCGGCCCTCCCCGGCGCTGTTGTGGCCGCCTCTTCCAAACAACAGTCCAGCAGCGAGCTTCACGGCATGGCGGATATTGACCCTGGGCTTGTCAGGGAGCCAATATCCATTCTGTGGGGTCTCCATCCCAGAGGAGGTATCCACCCCTCTCTCGATTTCTGTTGTAACAGTCGTCTTCCCTGTGGGTGCATTCCTCGCAAGCCTGGCAGCTGGCACGGCATGCTCCGAGGCTAGTGGGACCCGAAATCTGCGGAAATGGACAACGCACGGTGCGGTCACATCGTTTAGAACTTATCCTGTCAGCGCATGCGAAATCGTGTGACGGAATTGTGATAATACTCCATTCCATCCCCAGTCGATTGTTGGGTGCATGTGGTTGTTGTGGGGACCCCTCATCGCAATGGGGCCTACAGCCATGGAACCCAAGAACACGATTCTCGCCAGCGATGCAATGGAACCTTGGTTAGATGGATTGGCTGGCTGGTCGCGTGAGTGCCTGCTTCAACGACTGGTGGGCAAGTGGAAAAGAGGATGCGCCAAATCAAAAATTGTCCTCCAGGGCTGACACTGCTATAGTACCGATAGGATCCTTGGATGATTGCCAGCAACTTGCCAGCAACACCAATTTGGCAGTAACGCCTTGTGGTAACAAGTTTGCGGGAACAAATTAGTGCACTGTAACTGGCGAAAAGTACACGCAGCTACGTTGTATTTCAAACACCTCCACCGCCGGGCCAGCCACAACGACCCAATACTGCTGTGCGCGGAGGGGGGCTGCGACTCCCTTAGCTCTGGCAAGCATACCATGAATTCTGGATTCTTCTCACACTCGCCATTGGAAGCCCAGTCGTTGCACAATGGATGATGATCGCCACACAACCCTGGATCATGGGGAAGATTCTCGGGATTGGGTCTCTTGAATGATTCAGCTGGAGGCGAGCGAACAGAAAAAACCAAGTCAATCGCCGTTCTCATCGAGTGGAAGGACCACTCCTGCCATTCGTTTGATATCTCGACGGCATTCCGGTCTCGATCTAACGCCTTGCACAACCCTCGCACACGCAAACGGTAATGTGCATGAAACAGTAAACTTCAGGAAGTTTGCAACGCTTATGTCCACAAACAGGATTATTTGTGAACATAGCTGGTAAAACTTGTCACAAGGTAATGCGCTCGGGTTAAAACAGGTCATAATGCATTGGGTGGACACAATGCAGGCAGATCGCCAAATGGAGATCTCCGTGCACATTGCGACCCCCAGCTGTATTGCAGAAGTGTCTTTGACTGCATCAGTACCATATGAGCTTCACAAAATTTCGCTGTTGGTGAGGGCAACGCCAGAATGGGACATTCATGAGGGCCAGCCCGTTCCACCTACGCCTGAATGGCTTCGTGTGGATCCATTTCGTGGCCGTCCATTTAACCCCCGTCACGACAGGGCAGCCAGTGTGCATCGAAGCAGCATCCACTGTGGCGTCTGGTTTCACCGAGAAAAACAACAAGGCATCCCGCTGCAGAGCCAGGAACAAATGGTGTCAGGCATTGCAACAGATCAAAGACGCCCACGGCGCCACTCCTGAGCTGCCGAAGGATTTGAATGTGGCGCAGCATTCACAAGATTCCTCGGGCATTGTCCCGCGGTACGTCAACAAACGATGCCTCGCATGAGTGCGCATGAAGAGTGTCATCTCACACTGTGGGCCCCTTCCCGTGGCCAGCGGAATGCAGACCACCGCGAAGATGTGCCGTTGCGACAAAACGGACGTTCTGGCTTATTTGATATTTGCTGCTTCGGGGTTTGAGATGTTGGTGTTCACCTTCTTTGGTTTCACCGCGACGTGGCCCTGGGAACAGGGCGACCAGGGTCCATAAGAAAACTCCAGGTCAGGGTCCACCCACACTGAATTCTTTGGGAACGCCGTTTCACCTCCGTACTCGACGTCTGTTCAACACGGACATTCCCCTGGTCAGAACCTTGCCGTCCAGCACATGCTTCTGCACATCATTGGGTTGGGTTGGGAAGAAAAAGAGCATGGAGGTGACTTCGAAAACAGATGCCTTAGTGTAAGGTGCGCCATACTTCATGGGATGCAAACCTGAAACAGACCTTAAGCATGCAAAGCACGAAAGCGAAAGGAACAGAAAAGTTAGGAAGCAATAGTCGCCTTGTCCGCACGCACCTGATAGATACAGCAACACTGTGGCCATTCTCGGCGCATCTTCACTCAAGACATCGGAGTGGGCGCCGTAGCTCTGGTTGTTGGCGTACCGCAGCACCTGCAGATCTTCTCCATTCTCTGCAGGAACCTGTGTCCAGCTCGCCAATCGATTTTCGATGGCTTCAATGATTGGGTCCTGCATTCGCCTGATGGCATTCGCACACACGTGGACGGAATTGCACAACAGCACATAAACGCGAAGCTTCAAGGGGAAAAGGGCCCTAAGTCAACCTGCCAGCAGCACGGCCTCAAGTGTATGGCGTTTTACCAGCCTCTCCACAGAATGAGTAAAGAGTGTTTCGTGTCATGTCACATGCTCATAGAGGGAGGAAGAGTCACTCAACAATTTCGGCTCGATCTGGTTTGTTGTCTGACTGCGCCATGCAGTCAAAATGTCAATGGTTTCCGTAATAAATGTTAGCAGTGTTGCTGCGTCAGACAGCAGACAACAAGAGGGGAACACGCACTTACAGCTGTGAACAGAACACACGAGGTGTGGCCAAAGTATGCTTGCTGTGAACGTTTACTGGACTATGCAAGACAGGGTGCTAAATGCATTGCCAATGACCCTATGGCCATAGTTTTGGCACATGTTGTGAGCTACACGGCAGCATGAACATTTTTCCATAACCAGAAGGGGCGCTCACTGCAGGAATGTTCCATAGCTTGTCCTGATGGCATCTGTGACTGCACCATGGCCCTCCTTACCCACCACGGTTGATCTTTTCATCTGTACATGCACAGACGCTTCAATCCTTCATGCTGGTGCACTACATGTTTTGTGCCCTTTCTGCCGTGCTATGTTGTCAGGATCACACTCTGATTTGGTGAATGCGCAATGAAGAGACTATCTGCCTTCGCACAGACATCCCAAGAGTGCATGCGTTCCAAGACTACATTGAACATTGCAGAAAACGCAGAGAATCGATTGTGAGCACAACAGTAATTTGCTCAGAATGCGCCACCGACTGCCAAGATCTCATTTTCCTATGGCACTACAGGGCATGCAGGATTATCCTCTGTTCATGCAGCCAAGGGGAAGATTGAATGGGTAGAATGGCATTGAAAGAGCTTGGACAGCTCGGCACATGGAATCTGGCAAAATGCGCAGTACTTCATTGCAATATGTGAGCTTCCTGATGAAAAATTACCTGGGGAGCTGCAAGCTTGATGATGTGTGCACATTCGTCGTCTGTCAGGAAATTATGGTACACAAATGCTCGTGGCTGCCAAGACACAATCTCAATCCTGAGAGCCAAAACAATGCCCAGTCCAAATCAACACGGAATAAAAGAAAACGAGGCAAGAAAAGGAGTACATCATATCAAATGCCAAGTAATTTTCCGCAAGCGTGCGCAGGTCCACATGTCCATCAAATCATGTCCAAACAATATGCTCACAACCAAGGCGCCATGCACACAGTGCATACCACACTGTCTGGATGTTGTGGTGCCCATCATCGCCTGCCAAAATGCAAGGGTTTGTCTGTCATGTGTTTTGACGAATGCAACAAATGCCCAAAAAAGCCTGCGTGCTAGAAGGTGTGGCTGGTATAGCAACACATAAGTTTTGCCATCATCAGTATGAAACTGCACAAAAAGCTTGTGAACACAACAGAAGCAAGAAAATCTGTACATACGCTTCATGACAGTTTGGGATAGGGTTGGAATGCCAATCGCCCCAAGTAAGGAAGGTATTCTCTCAGTGCAACAGAGCGCCACCACATTAAGCTGCAGCCACTTGCTCAAGTATAGACTAGCGTATAGCAATATCATTGTGACATCAACAGAGACCATCACCATAAAGACGAGCAAGCAGAGGGCTCGGTGTAAGTATGATGCTATCACATGCACCAGCCAATTATTGTGCCACAACAGCAAGACGACTACGCCAGAAGGCAACGGATGATCACAAAGAGGAAAGCGTGCCAAAGCTCCCACTACTACCAGTTGGTCTCTGCTTTGGGCTTCTGTTTTGTCAACAGGGCTGACACCCTGGGGTCAGCATTGCTGGGGTTCTCCTGGCAAAGGCATATCACAATGAATATCATTCAGACATCAGATTGGGGCAGTTGCTGTTTCTTTGGACCTGTCCAGAGGATTTGACGAACAGCGAAAAAGTTCAGCAAATCTCCAACCTTGTGGTTGCCTATTCACAGTTGATAGTTGAAAGTATTCTGGTTTGGGCATTCTTCATGCACTTGGGCATATGGAGATCAAGGAATTCTCTGTGCAGACTGGTGCACGAAGCCCCCTTTAGGTGTAGCAGAAGTGCTTTGTGGAAGGATTTCTATCAAGGGAGTTCTACACTGGCGACCTGGTGACAGGCATCTGCACGAGGACCACAAGCTGCCTTCAACATCACCCCATGACCAATTGTGCATCGGAATACTTTTTGGCAGAAACAATCATCATAGATTAACTACTGGGCACCAACAAGTTTGGGTTTCATTCTGTGGTTCGATGCATTTCAGCCACTGCTCAAAGTATCCATAATGCAGCCGGTATCATTGAGTGGATGCGCGAGTACAGCGTCCAGAGGATCTGGTGGTCAGGATGCAGGCAACGAAGCCTGGACAGTACTTTTCAGGTGCTGACACAATGAATTGCCCTCTGTGTTTAAAACTGCAGAACTCAGGTCACATAGCACATCAGATGCTATGCCTCAACAATCGACGGGTCATGCTGTCCCTGAGCACTGTTCACTCCTTGTGTGCACACACTGGACAAGGAATTCATCCCCAATGCGATGTTTAGAGGTTTGCAGTACATTGATGCAATTGGATCAAGCAACCCTGAGCAAAAGGTGCCTATGAAGCGCCCAAAACACACCCAAGTCGCTGGTCACGGCAGGAATTCAGGGCGAGCGTGAGTGTGCTCCCCGGCCGAGCGATGGATCCCTGATCGCTGAAATGCTCCAGGCCCACAATCCGAAACCCAAAACCACTGCCCGAAACACATGCATCCCGCCACAAACTCTGATTCAGGTGCGCGCCGCACACACAGTGCCCAAGCGCGGGACCAACCTCTTCGCCGCCCTTCCCGTCCTTCCACACTTCTTTGGGGTGGTAGGATGTCCCCAGCCACCCAATGAATGGGTCCTCGCGCGCCCCTGCAGAATGCGACACGAAATCAATCAAGCGAAGCTCTCCTGCCCCCGTCCCAGCATTTCCACCATTTCCTCTGGCCCAAGAAGGCGGAGAGACGCCAAGTTGTCACATATATGTTACGTTCTTTTTGCGCGGGAGGTGCCTGCCGACTGACTTGGTGCCGACATCCCTTCCGTCGAAAAGAGGACTCCGAGACACGCCAGCGCAGGCCCACCTCCGACTACCGCGCACGACACCAGCGCCGCAACGGCCACCGCCACCAGCTGTCGACGCATGTCGCGCGGGCCCATCAAAGGGCGGCCCGCGTGCTCGCGCTTTACGGAAGGCGTCTCGAAGGCTCGGTCATCACGCCCCTTGAGCCTCGAACCGGGACACAGCTCACGGGCGGACCCTTTGGAACGGCCCCGGGGTCCACGCTGCCATCCGGGAAGAGGCAAGAAGTTGCCACCCCGGCTGAAGTATGACATCGTATTTGGCGCCCATACGATTTTTTCAGTAGTTAAACAGCTCCTGTACCTGTTGTTGGAGAAGGAGACGGTCCCAGCCAGCGGGCCGCAAGGCATCACGGTCGCGACTTCTTGTGTCGTCTGTGGTCCAGGTGGGTGCCTGCCACTTGGGTTGGTCGGCAAATGTGCACGAGGCAACAACGGCTTCTGCCGCAATGGGGCAGCGAGTGCTGTCTGCCAATTGACGTGTGGCGCTGCCACTGGAAGGAGGTCGCGACAAGCGACAGGGAGCGATGGGCTGGAGACGCTGGTGGGCAAGCACGGCCGTCAGCAGGCCGTAACGTTGTCGGCGCCTGGCGCTGTGACGGCAACACAGGTAACCAACCTATTCGACGAGTGTGATTAGAGAACTGATGCCCAGAGAACTGCGCTGTCTTCAATTGATGGCTGCGGACTTCTTCGCTTGCCTTGCACTTTATTTGCGTACGTGCACACTCTGCACTGAAAACAGCCCCCACGTGGCAGAACCTTCCACTGGGCGCCGAGTCTAGCCTGGTGAGCGGGAAGCGGTGGCAACGCCACCAATTATTATGACTGCAGAACGGACACCACAGATTCGCAAGAATGGATCCCGGTTTGGTTACAGTCAAGACGTCAGAGCGCCAGATCTTAGGATTCACTATCCAGACAGGCGGTGTTTTGGATCGCCAAGACAGGAATTGGCACGTGCACGAGGTGACTCGTCGGTCTTGAAATTTGATGTCAGCCCAGAAGCACAAAGCTGCTTGATTAAAGAAACGCAGCACAGGCAGTGTGCAAATGAATTTGCCTTTGCTGATGGAGCCCCATATTGATGTTTGTTTGCTGAATTGACAGATTGTTGGCGCAGAAACCACCCCACTTTGCTATGAGATATAAAAAGCTCATCTTTGTCCCTAACAATTGAGCAGAACAATTTGCCACGAGGGTTTGAAGAACACAGCGAATATTGTTGACATCACTGCAACAGGAAAACCACAAGCACGTACATGAGACACCATGTTGGGCACCGGATAGCAAGGTGCACAAGGTGCATTTGTGTGGCATGTTCCCATCTCATCTCCAAATAGAGTGCCAAACCAGAGAAAACTTTCACGTGGCAAAGCAGTCCAGCAACTGTGCAGTAACCGGAACACTCCGATCCAGCACTGCATGATCACAAAAAAGTGAAACTTTCCCCCCAGCACAAATATGCTGCAAATGGAAAAGAATTGCTGCAGAGGCATCTGCAGATGTAAAGAATGCCCAATGCGCGCTTCTTGCTTTCAGTTCTCCTTCCCTGTCCTGATGCTTGCCCTGGCGTCTTCACCAAATCCAAAAAAGTCATCAAGGTAGCAAAAGAATTTCTGATAGTAGAAGCGCCCATCCCTGTGGTGAACGTAGTGACGACGGCTCCCTGGACATGCCAGAGAAATTGGTGAAACGAATAACATTTGAGGCCTTGAAGCCCACCGAAACGGTTGTTGGATCCATTATGGCGTAATTGAAACAAAGCAACTGCAACACCTTCGTTGCATCATGTGCTGCAAGTGTGGTAAGGACCAATACGCCATGCAGCCGTTCATATCATTGAGTCGACAACCGGCATCCTCCGTGGGGATAAAAGAGTTCCCAAACAAGAGGATGAAAGCAGCCACAGCTTGCCAGCCAACAATAGACACAAAAAACGCAAGTCCCAGGTTGCTAGACAATCTCCACAGTGGCACCTGCAATTCGCATCTTACTTCCAGCGAGCTCACAGCAGCCAATAGATCTCTCGTTGTTGGGATGTTCTCTTGACATTATGGTCCTAGCTCGATCGAATACAAGATGGTGGGTTTAAGTTGGGTAAGATGGTGGGCTGCAACCTAATGCATGGATGTGGGTTGAGCCACAGAATGGCAAAGTGCCGCAGGAGTGGATAAAGGCTTGCAGCTTCTGCCCAGGTTCGAGGGTGAACATGCTTGCAAGTACCAAACTGATTTGCCCAGTTTCACTAATTGACAGTGCTTAGGTACATGATGCTGAATGTGCAAGTCGCCTCTGCCAGTGCACCTGCCCAAAGTCCGAATGGCACCACATTCTGCAGCATCCACGGCATGTCGTATCCTATGCACAGAACATGCTATCAGGATTCATGTTTGCAGTCAGCCCACTGAAAACAAAAAGTCAACATTTGCGAGAGCTGCTGAACATTCTGGACATTACTCATGGTCGTTCTGAGCCACCTGATGCTTGGAAACAGAAAAAGAATGTTGCTGGGTTGCAAATGTCGATTGATTCAAGGTTTTGGCCGAACAACAGGCACCCGGCCACTCCTCACTCAGTTGCATCACTGTTTGTGCAGCTTGGCAGTGAAACCGCACATATGCAGCAAATGACAGAAACGATAACGGGACTTGCAAAATGGCACGTTCATTTCACTGTCCTTCCATAGTGATGTCTTCCTGGGTGCAGATAACATAGACTGAATTGTGCACAAATGATATGGAGCAGATGAGCATGAATAAGTGTCTCGTTGTGGATATAAGAAATCCTCTATTGCGTATACTCAACAAATTCAATTGATAGTGGCTCAAAGCGTACAAGTTGTTTTGAGAGCTTTCTGCCCTTGGCTGAGATCAGACCTTGTCCATATCCTGATGCCCACACCTGAGTGGAGTTCAGTCAGGAGGTAGACAATGATCCCATTGTACAATGCTCTTGACAATGGGTGGCAGCGCGCAACGTTCACAGCAATAATGGAGCACGACACATCAGCCCACTGCAACAAGCAACACAATACACCATTGTCACCATCAAGAAATAGCAGTCCGGAACACATGTGGTTACATGGTGTGCTGGATTTGTCTCTTTATCACATACTACTCTCCACAAAACGTACCAATGTGCTACAGCTCATCAGCCAGCGGTAAACAGCTTACCCCATTTCATGACATTTCCCTCGAAAAAATGCACAAAAAAGAGTCGACTGTCGACCAGTTGAAAACGGATTGAAAGAAATCTTCTCATTCACCATGGCTCATTTTGTTCAAAATGCACTTGTCTTGACAACTATCAAGTGTGGCCTGTCGGCACAACAGCCTTCAAGCAGTCTACCATTAGTACTGGATAGGCAAACAAGAGATTAGCCTTTAAACTCTATGAGCAAGATCAATGGAGTGCTACAAGGAAAAACATACACATCACATCTTGCAAAACGTCTCAAGGCAGATGAACACTTGACTGTGCTGCTGTGTTCAGATTCGAGAAACAGTGCCTGCACCACTCAGTTCTCCATCTGATACCTGCAAAGTTTTGAATTGCATGGTAACTGAGCAAAGAACTACCAACAATCGGTCTCAAGATGTAGCAGAGCCCCTGTTACGGTCGTCAAGGTACTGAACACTCACTTTTCCGTCACTGGTCATGCGGATGACAAGTCAATTCATCAAATATTGCAATGATTTGTTTGCATGGTGCATAAAGCATCGTCACCTCTGCAGACACCACACCTGCTCGAAGAAGCTTAACCTAATGGTTTCACCAGCGCGCATGATTTTTTCACTGTGGTGCTTGGCATGGATGTTGCGATACAGGAAACGGACCTACCAACACAAGCAGCAAACATTGTTGGTGGCGTGCCACAAGCCTCCTGGCAACCCAAAATTGAATGCATTGATTTTGACAATTCTCTCCTGATTGGCAATTTCCTTGTTGTGTATGAAATGACAGGGGAGATACCCGGTATTAGTAGGCATCCCCTATTAGTAGGCATCCCCTATTAGTAGGCATCCCCTATTAGTATCCACCCCCGTCTTTGGGTTCGAAATCACGTTAGTATCTGTGACCGGGTGTTACTATCCACCCCCAAACAGACAGAAACGAGCGAGGGAGCGAATGGTGGTAAAGGAAGTCGGCGACTGGTGTTGGACCGCGTTGCCCAGTCTGGACCAAACCGCGTTCCCTGCGATTCGCGCATCGACAGGGACGATCGGGCCGGGGTGGATGCTGTCGAGGGAGAATTTGGAAGGGGACCCGCAAATGGCCGCATGGTCGACTGGCTGCTGTTGGCGCTCTCAGCGCGGGATCGCAGGGCAGCGACCGACGCCACGGGGCCCGATCAAAGAAGCGGTCGAGAAATCAAAGCCGTCTTTGTTTCTGGATCGAGTCAACCTGCTCCCCGGCCGGCCAGAACAGGTTCCCGCCTGGCGCCTGCTAAGGGCGCCCCAAGGCCCAGCGCCAGGAATGGGCAGGTGACGGGGCTGGTCGGGGCGGCCGCCGTTGTGAGACCCCGCCTCGCAAAACTGCCCGCAAAACGCTGCGAAGGCCGGGCCCATCCCCAAATCGCACATAGCACTGGCTACCACGCCACAAACCCCACTCACAGATCCCATCAGCCATCCCTGCAGCCATCAGCCATCCCTGCAGCCATCAGCCCAGGAAAACGCCGCATGTCAAGCCCATCTTCGCGGCGTGGCGCCCCGGCGAGTCGAGACCCATATCGTCCTTTGGATTGCAGAGGCAAACACGCCTCGGCCATTCCAGCGCTCCCGTGAAAAGGCTGACAACACTTAGTAATAGCACTGTCATTTTTGCCCATTTCTGGGCATTTCACGGAATATTCGTCAAAAATTCTCTTTGGCTACTCCTTGGGATCAGGACCCTACACCGCGTTAGTCATGACCCACTATTAGCATCCACCGCTCATGTTGTGGGTCCAACTCACGCCTACTAAAACCGGGTAAATATGGTACATACACTGTTGCCACACTCAGCATTGGAGTTACTCTGCAATGTTTTCCTATTGAAATCTTGTGACAGTGGCAATTGACGGATGTTGCGGTCAGCACACCACAGAGCACACAAAGGCGTTGAAATACTTATCCTTTCTCTGCTAGTGTGTTTGCTGTTTCGCAATGCCATGCGCAATTGTCACATTGGCCCAAGTGGTGCATGCATTGCTGCAGTTTGCAAAACTGCGGGGTTGTTGGGTGCATTTGCGAATGCCTGTGGAGGAGAGGGAGTGAATTCCATCAATTGAGAATTTTCAGTTGGGAGCGCTGAGGGTACAATTTCCATCCCAGCTGTTGTTGATTTTCGAACAGCCTCCACTGTATCATCCAAACATGGTTGATGCGTGCCGTCATTCATGACAAACTACGCAAAGTACGTGGCAGCACTCTGAATTGCAATTCATCGAGCATCCAACTGCATACCTTGTGGCATGTGACATGAATAAAAAAGAACATAAAATCGTATATAAACAGAGGCGCAAGGATGTCGATGGCCAGCTTCTCGATTGAAGGAGCCTTCTCTGGCAGGTTGCGCCTTGGGTACATAATGTCAAAAATGGCGATCGGCGCAAAGTACCACACTGGCTCTTGCAGAAGCCTGGAGGTCCACAGCACAGAGTGCTCAGCAGGTCGACAATAGAAGCGGACAGTGGGCACCACAGCTGTTCCCTGCACTGAAAGCGGGCGCTTTGCAACGGCCATCGCCCTGTGTTTCGTGCGTGCCTAGCAACGGTTGAATTCATCCAACAAGCATCCGCACAGCCACAAGCTAGCACGGGGAAACCGGAAGCTGCGCATTAGCTTGTGCCAATGGCCGTGCAATCCTCTTGTTGTTATTGTCGTACAACTGTGCCGCGTTGGCCCAATCTCTTCCTCGCCGGGTGTTCATGTGGCGCCAGTGCCCCGCAAATGCATATCCCAACAGCAGCCCCTGCTCTCCACTTTGATCAGCGCCCCTTCCACCGTTTCAGTTCCCACCATTTGCCGCGCCACGATGCCTCTCCCAAACTTTACCCAGTTCGCAGCACAAAATGACTACGACACGCACCTGTTTCGGCACCACCATGCAGGCAAACACATCAGCGCGATGAGCGCCATCAGCAGACGTCAATGGGCCAGACGTCCCCAGAAAGCTATCCTAATCGCGCAAGCGCACACACGCCCAGCTGACGCTGCAAGTTGCCCCCACCTGGTCCACCATTTGCTGAGATGCCAGGTGCTCATATCGTCCGATTCGCCAATCCGCCAGCGCTTGGTAAGCCCAGCGGGCAGCCAGCAGTCCAGCGCCTTCCAAAACGTGAAGGAAACCAGGAAGGCGGTGACGGCGACGGTGGGTTCGAATGTGTCGTGGCGCACGACGGTGGACGCTCGCAGGACGTCCCAAATGGCCTGAATGCACCCATCGACCCATTGGTGCCACACGATCGCGACCAGGGTCGCTGCCAGCCACAGGGCGCGGCAAACGCTGGTCGTGGTTGGGGTTGTGGCGGCCATGTGGGAGGGCGAACGTGCGTGGGCGGCGGCAAGGCTTCAGGGGGGCTGTGGGCGTCTGTGCCACCAAGGCGCGGGGGAGTGTGTGATGGTGGCGCCGTGCTGGGGATCTGGCTGTTGGCCTCTGGTGCGGGCGGGTTCCTCCAGGCATATTCGTGGAACGGAGTGGCCATGGGCTTGCTGACAAACAAATCCGGCTGAGAGCGCCTTGGATCACATACCATGCTGATGCGTCTTCCTTGCGTGCTTGGTCAACCTGAGTTTTAGGTAGTAAGGTTTGTAAACTTAAAACCTTACAAACCTTACTATTTGTTTACTACCTATGCTGGAAGGAAACCTTGCAACCTGTAAACCTCTTACCGCCTGCTTAGGGGGGGGGGGAGTGGCCCGTGTATGACCTGTTTCTCGATGTAACAAATCTTACCTTACCGCCTTCAAACCTTTCTGAGCGGACCCCTGGGTATATGAAGAAGTCACCGCCGGAAACAACCCTTCCACTTCCCAGATTAGGGAAATGTCGTGACAGGGGACATGATTACCGGCACTTCTATCAAATTTCAATCACTTTAGAATTGTTGCACCAACCCTATGCGGTAGCGGAATGATACCATCACTGACGATTCGTCAGGCAGCATGACCAGAAAAATGTACTGGCCGCAGGGATTGATATATGGTGTAGACAGATACATAGCCAGTTGCTTGAAGTGTTGCCATTGGCAATTTTTACATTGGTGGTTGCACCTCGCTTGCCACGTATTCCTCGGCAAATGCAAATGTGACGAAGGTTAACGAAGTCGTCCACCTTCGTCTGCAAATCGGCAGCAAATAGGATGAGGCCTGGACATGCCCAAGACGTAATATGATGGGCCATTTCTCCCCTGAAAAATATTAAGGAAGAAGCCAAAGGCATGGTAATGAGTAACACATTAATGCCATGGAAATGACCCCTTATCTTTTACGACTACGGAACGTAACAGAGGAGAAAATACCCTGCGGAAAAGACGCTGCGACCGATTGTGAAAATAAGGGTGCTGTACTAACAGAAAGGGGTGCCCGAAAATCGACTTTTACGAGTGAAGTACGGCTGTGGCCATTGAGGCAAAACTTAGCTGAATAGAGGAACGGGCCATTTGGTTGCAAAACGGACCTTATGGAACGGGTTGCTCCTCGAGGGTGCAAGGATACGAGCTCGCACGGCCATCCCCTAGTGCCAACGAGCAGCACAAATTTCATCTGCGGAGGCCGGATGGTTGTCTAGCGACGCCATTCTCACTCTAACATGCATGGTCGGTACATGTTGTGCGATTCCTGGTAGTAGATCGTCCAAACGACAAAACAAAATTACTGCAGTTTCACCTCACAATCATGAATACCAGGTTAACTAATTGGGTTGAGGTCCTGACGCTCAAGACCAAATGAGTTGACTACCCCGGCAATCGTTCGAATGGGGTTGGTGATGGACGCCAAGGCTGCAGATTACGTGATGGACTCAGCCGGTTTGTGAGCCGGGCGGGTTGAGATTCGAGCAGGAGAGATTCAAGCAGGACAGCAGGTGCACTCAACACCGGGCAACGTGGACAGCTTCCTTGGGTAGACCGCCGCGGGATTGTGTTGACTGCAGCCAGGGCACAGGTTGCGGGGCAGAGCTTTGAGAGAAGCAAGGCATGCATTCGTGCATGTTCTGATCCGCCAGCGGCGGACGGGGAGACCCACAGGGCGGATGGTGGCCAAGCCGCAGGTGTCCGCGGCTGTGCGCGCAAGCCAAAGGCGCAAGAATGCGGCCATGGAGGCACGAGGGAAAGGGCAGGACCACGTGCTGTCGGAGCAGGACCAGGTACACATGCGTGCGGAAACTCCCGGGCAGTCGGCGACTGCGCCTTTGTGGGCATGGCAGCCATCCATCCGAGAATTCTGCAGGACGCATGTGAATTTCCAAACTGCAATGACAGTACATTGTGCAGGCAACACAGGTACTTTTAAATTGCCCACATATCTTGCCTTTGAAATGTTTTGCAGTCGGAGAGAGTGCAACTCCACGTTCTGGGAAATGTAGATAATGTAGTTTCGTTTCTGACCTCACGAACTGAACCTGACTTTCTCAGAAGAGGAATGCCGTCGCGAACGAAAGAGGTCTCCGTATGCGCACAATGCTTTGGGCCTGTCTCGCACATCCCAGGAAGTGCAATAATATTCAAAGCGCAGCTGGTTCGTAGCCTCAAGTGCCAGCCAGTGCCGTACTCACGAATTGCGTATTTTCAAAGGAGTTCATCCGAAAGAAAATGGACATATACGACAGTGACCACAACGGGACACTCGATAAGAACGAGCTCATCAAACTCATGACGGATCTTAATGAAGGTGAGCAAACACTCATCGCGCAGCAGCAGCCAGCGCGGTGGCCAATAATGCCAATTCGAAATCATTGTTTATGATTCTGTCCGGCTTTGAGCTAGCCAAATGCAGGTTCTACATTTGCAAATACAAATGCGGACGCTAGCCAGTTGGCTTGCTTCAAGCTTAAAGACGGAAATCGTGCATCTGTATTTCTGATTGGGCACTGTGCCGCGCGTCAAGGCAGATCAAAAAAGGCATTGATGGACAGATTTTTCAAGTAAATTTGTTGCCAGTGACAGTGAGCCAGCGGAAGGTAGAATTTTCTGGGTATTGGACAGAAGGCTGCTTTCCAGATCATGGTAGGGGATATCGTTTAAATTGGTGAAGCCACTTGGCGCTACCCACCGTGGGCTCGGATGCGATCCAGAATCATTCCGGGGGCATTGTTTTCGTCGATGCCGAGTAACTATACTAATTCCGTTGGGATTAAACTGCTCGTGCCTATTCAACATCAGGCCAGAAATTTTTTTCGATTGTTTAGAGAAAATTGAGACAGCAGAAATGTTCTTGCAGGAATTCCGCCCACCGGGCAGGAAGTGGAGGTGATCTTTGAAAAGGTTGGGAAAACTAAAATATCGTATTGCAAGTATAAGATCGCCGTATGAGCCCGATTCATCAGCTGTATGGAACACCATAAATTTGGCTCTTTTCCTGTGCGTCAATCGATGAGATGTTAGCAAAGATCGTTTGCAGATATCAAACTACATGGACTCCTTCTGCCACTCAATTCGCATTGCATTTTGATTTGGCAAGACCTATTATGAATGTCGTTCTCAAGTTTATTAATAGTACCTGGTGGTGTAATGTACTGCATAAAACAAAGAAAAGAGCATGGAATAATGAACCATAATATCTGGATGTCCAATTTGCGAATCCGTGCGACGATCCAAACAACTGCACCAACGCATACCTATGACACCGACGATCCTACCATTTCTGACAGTATTTAAAGTAATATTTTCACATACATACTGCACATTGGGATTTTGCTTCACCGTCCAGCGCAAATCACGGAAGTTATAGGGCAGCCCCCCCCAAAGCCTCGAAAGTACCCCATGCTAGCTCAGTGCTCTTAACATATTGTTAGTTTACCAAGCCAAGTGTCTAAAAATCTCGAAACACCGTTGACGTTTCTTAACACTTGACTAGTAGACTTTCAGCTTTCGCATTGCCATACCGCGTTTTCACAATGAAAAGTAACGAACAAAAGACGTTCACCTTGACCGATCTGCAGTTGGTGTGTGGCAGCAATCGAATCCTTATATTGCGTTAATTGGAATTCGTGTGCTCATTTTGCAGTGCGACAAAGATCATGATGGTAACATAAGCACAAGCGAATTGAAACGAGCGATTGTTACCTGGTTTCACAGGTATATGTTACGTTATCGCGATTTTCTTCTGACTGAACTATGTGACACGAAGCTACCTGCCGTTGATCGCAGGGACATCTCTGCCACAAGAAAATCTGCGTGGAATCTTTCATAAACTTGCTCATCAACTTTGGAAACGTGGTGTAAAAATATCTGAAACATAAGTTTAGGATTTCCAGCTCTGCAATTACTGCTGCCTTCCATTTTTCCAACCACAGGAATTTATATCGATGAGTAAAGCTGTATGGGCTTGTTTCATGCCGTCAACGTAGCGCCTAGATGACGAGCCCCTCGAAGTGTAAATGTGAGCTGCACCAGGCGTGTACTGCTAATAGCAGTTCATGATTCATTTGGAAATTTTCATCACCAAAATAGAACTAACCTACATGGAGTGATCACTCGGGGGTGCACCGGTGCACCGCTTGGACCAGAAGATGCACGTTTCCACTGTCATGGCAACTAAAAATACGAATGCTCACGAATGATGTTGCGAATGGTAATGAGTAGTCATTCATACAGCACAAGACATTGCGGGACTTGAACGAAGTTTATAGAGTAGGCACTGCTCCCCCTTATAACTGTTTCGCCAGGCAGTAGTCAAGTGCTGTTGCTGTCTTCTGCTCATACTGGTGTCATTTGATAGTAGTGGTGAGAAGTTTCATTCCATATTTTCGTCATTTTTGATGATGTAACGCTTGCCTGGGAGGGCGCCATCGTGTCTAACCGCTCTCTACTTTTTTGCAGCGTCGAGGAGAGGCAGAATGCGTGCTGCGCAGTGTCATAGAGCCTTAGATACGCCAATTATCTCCTGTTTTAATACTACAATGGGATTATTGAAGATTGGGATTGTGGAAATGGCAGTTGCACATTCTGCAGCGGTGCTGAAATGGTAGCATTGGGCTGGGAGAGCGCTGTGATTTGGTGTGAGACGCGGAGTCGCATTGTTACAGTCGATTATAGATGGGCGCCAAGCACCCATTATGTAGAGGGACAAGTGGATCGTATCATGGTTTGTGCATCGCGCGTGTGGGCATCGTTTCAGGCAAAATTGGTCACACTCACCCAATACGACAAGCCAATGCACCTCCTAGTCGCTGCCGAATGAACAGTCGCGTTTCCTGCCAGAAAGCAGAATTCGTTCCGGGGACCATGCGTCGGTGTATCTACACTAAGCCGCAGATAATATTCCCTTGAAATATCCGCAATAACTCCTTCGCAATCGAAGCAACTTAAAAAAAAACAGTAATTCGTTAATCAGTTTGCTTTCCACGGCAGAAAGCAGACGATCCAGGGGACGGCAGAACAAGGATTAGGTTGGTGTCCACAGTACAAAAACACCATGCTAAGCCCCGGTTGGCTTTTTGATCATTGTGTCAAAGTTCCGAGTAGCCGCTGCTTTGGCCCAATGCCCTCGGGCGCCAGACAGCAGGGCGGTAGAAGAGACAGCCAGATATCGCAGTGAGCACCAGCACTGTTCCGCTGGGGCAGCGTTAGATTCATTTGAAAACTGGATATCGGCCCGCAGGAGCACATCCTGAAGAATGCCACCTGGGGAAAGGGTTCTTAAGTGCAGCCCTTGCCATGGCTAGTTGACATCGAGCTGTTTTGTTGTCGAGATCCTGCGACGGTCGCTGGAAGGCGTTGGCTGCAAGGCAGGCCATGTGCAACCGCGAAAGGGGACGAAGCCAGGTTCCTGCACGCTGTTTTCATTGATGGAAGCGCCATTTACTAAGCGGCAGTAATGGTGAACCGTTCTTGTTAGTAAGCGATCTGAAAAAGCGTGTCCTTTTCTACCAGAGACACTGTTGTCAAGTGCGAGCAATGCTCACTTTTTGCCTGGACGTGCAAGTGGCTGCCAATGGTGACAATGCGCCCACCTAACGCCGTCGCATCCTTGGGTCCAGCGACCACGTACCCGCCGACGTCAGCGCCTCCAGCCCGCGCGGCCCCATATCTCGCAGAAGACCAGCAGCCGGCAGTCTCGACAGAACAGCGCCATCGGCCCGCGAACCGCGAACGGAGACAGGCAGGAAGGCGGCCGGCCACCACAGCGCCGCGCGTGTCTGCTTTGAGGTCGCGTCTACCCTGGTGCCGTCAACGGGCTGTTCGCTCAAGCCCGTGTGCTGCCCGAGCCGCTCAATCGCTGCGCAGGGAGGGATTGGGCACCTGGTCTGTGGCGTTGCCCGGAACTCGACTTCAGGTGACTGCCAGCCGTTGCGGACGTCGACCTGGCTGCCGGATCGCTGGCGGGCGCCAAATGCAGAATGCCTGTCAATGGACGTGGGGCCCCAGTGCAGGGTTAGTGGTCGCTGCCCACGTCGTCCGGCCCGTCTGTGTCAATGATTGCTTGCGCCATGAAGGAACATGTCCAGATGTGAGCACCCCCCGTCCCGCGCAAGGCGTCGAGGCTCGCTGCACAGTGCGGGAGATGGCTGGAAAGCTTGCCAGTGTCGGTGAAGCAGGTGACGGTTGACGTTGGATGCCACAGGGCTTGTCCCCTCCGGCCCCGGGCGAGGTCGAAGTGCCCCGCTGTCGCTGCTGCGGCGATGCTGAGGCCGGGAATGCGGCCGCTGCGCCGGTCGATGGATGGGGGCGCTGTGCGCGTCATGGGTGGCGCGACGCGCTTGGCGTCGGGGCTGGCATCTCGGGGCGGTCGAAGGCATTCCAGGGCGCCCGCACTGGTGAGACACGGCGCGGTAGGGTTGTGATTTTGGGATAGCTTGAGGCGGGTGGTGGTGTTGGAGACCGGCATGCGGATGATTGCGGTTCATGCGGCCAGTTTTGTGGCTGCCTGGGAGGTTGTGTCTGGTCCTTAAACCGACGATAAGATTCAACGAAATAATGAGGGCGTCATGACGATGCCCTCCACAGGTTCGCGCAAAGCGTGGCAAATTTTCGTTGCTGATGGCGATCGCAGTGGTCCAGATATTTGTTCCAGGCACCTCAAGGCCACCAAGTAAGCACACGTGATTGGTTGATTGCAGCAGTTGATTGCATGTGTGTCAGGTGGTGGCGTCCCTGTGCCCATACCAGACCCTGGGAGTCAGCGAGACAGCAGATATGAACGAAATCAAGAGAGCCTACAGGAAGATGGCGCTCAAGTGAGCGATTCACACATTAACTTGCGATGCATATCGCCGGGAGCGCCTCAGCAGCAACGAAGAACCGAAATGGGCACTTATCTGCTGATAATTTGCTATCATTTTGATAAACAACAAAACAAAACGTCTCAATTCGGTTCTTTGCTGCTACTGAGGCGGTTCTAGTGATCTACTGAGGATAAATTGCCACCATTTTGATCAACAATAAATACAAAACGTCCTTCAATGGGAGATGCAGCCCCTGCAGCTGATGTATTCATGTATCACTCGCCTCCAGTTTGCCCACGTTGTTTGTGCAAGAATGGGAGAGGCACTTTTTGCAGCAGTTTGCTCAGGGATGTAACCATGTCCACTTCACCCTATTTGTACTCTGAGAACAAAATAATTAGGATGCTCATTGGCATAGCGCGAAGAGGGCTGGTGTATTTTCTCTGGAACTCAGTCGCCCCACAATCTTTCAGTGAAGAAACAAAGCTGGAAACAGCTGTGCCCATTGCCTAGATCACAGGTTTTGGCTTTGTGATGACAGGCACCACCCAGATCGTGAGGGAGGTTCTGAGTCCATGTTTTTGGCAATTCATGAAGCCTACGAGATTTTGCTTGGCACAAAGCAGGGTAAGAACATGGATCGTTCTACGGGCTGGGATTTCCATGATTGGTGAGTATCCTATTCATCGCCAGCAAGGGTGGTGCAAGGCATGCAGCAAGTTGAGGACAAACTCAAACCCTGTCTTTTCTGGGATACTTGTTCTCCGTGAGCAGTACAGTGGCGCAGGTGGCTAAAGTTTGCCAAACCAACAATGCTGGTGGCGCCATACCCTGTGCAAATGATGGGCAGTTGGATTTCCTTTCAAGAGGCACAGATGACTGAGCATTAAAAGTCCTGAAGCACACACGACACCTTGCGGATCACACATTTGGGGGTACTGGCAGTGTTTTGGTTTGGGTCCGGCTGTGCCCAGCTGGCCACAATAACATGGCCTTTTGTGCGGGCAACTGAGTCTGGAAGTCCATTGTTGTTAAAGTACTATTGATGAGCATTTGTATTCCCCACAGGGTGGGTGCTGAATGCTGACAGTTCAACACTCTGGGGTCAATGCTGTCAAATCTAAAACAACGAAGTGAGCAGATTCCAGTAGTTTGGGGTCTTGGAGCCTTGCTGCAATATTTGGCCAGCCACGTTTGCCCAATTGGCAAGTTTCTGTGACAACCTGTTTGTTTCTTGCTTTGTTCAAGTCCCTCGTGAAGTGCAGGACGATGAATTGTTTGGATCCCCACTGCGGGCAGTATAATGTCTGGCAATTTAACGTCCCAATGCAATTGAACGTTGGGCATTGAATTGGAGGAGGGGCATTGTCCAGATATTCCTGCAGTTTCTAGGAGGAGTTTCTGGACAGGTCAACTCAGCCACACACCAGTATACCGATTCCTTCCGTCCTGTTAGACTGAAGCACAGCAACGCTACTTGCAGGGCTATTAATCAGAGACTGGACCTGGTTTAGATTCTGAATGAGTTGACATTGCCAGGATCATTTCAAAGGTCAGACCTGGACAAAGGTGGTGGCTGCGTGCATATGGCTGGCCTACATGTCCCTCTTTCACTGCAGATGAAACTTCACAACTAAAAGTTCGTTATCTGTGGCAAAGGACAACAATTACAATATGCCCTTCTTGGCGGTAGACAGCTGGTACAGAAAGTGAGACAATGCAACAAATCGTGAATAGCAGACTCTCTGTTGCTGGTTTTCTAGGTACTGGAAGTTCTTGATGCGGCGAAAACATGGGCACAAAGGCCCAGGGCAGGCCCATGACGACCATCACAGTGGCTCTGCATCCCGCGAGCAGGTGCGGTCACAACTGGCGGGCCTCCGGCATCGGGCTGCAGTGCGTGCACAGCGAATGAGAACAGAGGATGGACACTCGCAGCATGGCCGTGCGCACGTTGGTGATGAAGACACTGGCACCAATGATGACGAGGAGATGGAATGGATGGGGCACATCGGTGAAGAGGATAGCTCGCCTGAAAGTTTTTGGCAGGAAGATGATGGTACTGGTGGGGCACCGACTGAATCGGCGACAGAGGAGGGGAGACAGGCATATCAAAGGTTGGTGCGGATATGCTTTACAGGACATCCCTTACTGTCTGAAGTTAATGCAGACCCCAAGGTGACTGTGCAGACAGCACTATCTTGGCGCTGGATGCACGTTGTTGTGACAGAGTTCGCAGCAAAATGCGTGATGCTGATCAGGAGTTCTGTTGCTGCGTTGGCAGGTACGCATTCTGCTTTTGTGCTGTGACGGTGTGTACTGACTGTGGCAGGTTGTGCGAGGAAGCCCGGCGGCGACAAAGCTTGTCAGGGACTGAAAATCACCAAGCAGTTCGGAGTCAGTTGGCAGGCCTGAAACGCAGGGCAAACATCCGCAAGGAAATGGACTTTGACAGCTAAGCAGTAACTGCTCTGACTTGCGACCAGGTGCAGTGCAAATGGATGAACTGTGATGCATTGGGTGTATGGGCCGTAGGGGCTTACATGGAAGGGCAGTTGCCTCGTCCCAGATTTCGAACAACCACAGTGGAACAAGATGCTGCGAATTTTTGTGTGCGTTGTGTCGGCTGTAGTTCCTGTGTACTTTAGCCACTCCTGAGTGCCATCGATATTAGCGAAATGGGACGATTGCTGGATGGGTGGACAGCTGAGACTCATCAAAGGGTGGTGCCACGCCCAAGCCGGAGAGGGCAGGCTTGTACCTGTAGTTTGATTTTGTATGTGCAATTTTTGAGGACCGTATTTAATTGTCGTTATTCTTTCCCATTTGAAAGAGAGTTAGCGATCCTGTAGATCGTTGGCATGTTGGTTTCGGCACCTGCGCATCACGCGGGTGCTTGGCCACCTGTGAACAGCAGAACCTTTTGCACACTGCGCGAGACGACTTGTACATGGGACAGTTTCGCGTACTCTGGGTGGGTGGTAGGTGATAGGACATCATGACGGCGTAGCCGTACGAGTTTGCAAACCTGTGGACAACAACCTGCTGGAGCCATTCATCGCCTTGAAGGTGTCCAGACTTGTTTCTTGACTTGGGTAGTTGTTGTCACAGGGTTCATGCAGGCTTGTCCAATGGAATCCAGGCACCATGGTCCATTGCGCACCTCGCGTTTGGGAAGATGGGCTTGTGGCTGTGGACGCCGTGTGTGTCCCCCCGCTTTGCGCAGGGAACATGCAGCCAAAGATGCTGCAGCAGAACTACTGTTACCATGCAGACATCGTGCTGTTAGGTACCGCCCAGGCCACGTCAGCGAACAAAGCATTCCCCAATGTGCTGTTCTACCAGGCCGCGTTACAACTAGTTCGCCTTTGTCTGTGCCTTAGGAGGTATCAAACGGATAGTCTCCACGAAGACAGGCAGAAATCTCCGCTCTACTGACGCTTTGGAGGCCAGCATTGCTCTACGGCGACACAAACACATTGGCTATTTTCGCATTGGCTGTACACTTAATGGTTAACATTGATAAAACAACCATGTCGTGGGGAACTGGGTGGAGCGCCTGCTGCTGCCAGTTCAGGTGACTGCCAATTCTGATTCGTAGCGGCAGCATGGGAAGTGGCACTTGATCGGGATCCGCAACCTTTCAATTTCACTTGGATCTGGACAACCAGCGGCGATTCGTCTTCGGATGGTTGGTTTCGGTCGACTACCATTCTGTGGAGTTGTGGTTCATGTCGCCCTTGTTGCTTCAGCCTAGTGAAGCGATCTTTGCTTGTCATTCGCTCTGCAATCGCAACAGTCTGCAACATCAACATCGCCAGACACACCTTCCGTGACAATTGCGCCCGCATGGATTGAGCACAGGGTAATCCGAATTCTTGGGAGAATGGGCCCCAATCAGTGCATCCCAATGTCCAGTGATCTGGCTCCCATGCATTTCAAAATGACAGCCGTGCAAGTTGATCGTTCGGCGATTGTCAAGATGGGGGCCGCACGAGATGCTGTTTGCGGTGCAATATTGCATTTTTCCCGCTGTTGGAAACCGAAGTAGTACTTTGACCACTTCCGGAATCTTTCACGGCGGACAAATTTCGAAACGGAGCCAGAAACTCCCCACCCCGTCAAGGTTCCGCCTGTTGCTGTCACATGACCGCCAAACTGGTGCCCTGCTGCCGGGAACAAGTCCGCACTGTGGCTCACAGTCCCGGCAAGAACCTCCGCCCGGCAAACAAACGGCGTGAGCGGGTCGCCAACCGTTCTCCGTCCACGTCTTCACGTCATCTCTCCATCCAACGCGGTCGGTCTCGCAAATGCCATCCCGGGCCCCTGGGCCTATTGCCTTCCCTTGCTTTCTGGGCTCCTCAGCAGGGCCGGCGTCACTTTGGGCGTCCTTTTGGCGATCGCGCGGCCAGGTGATGGAAAGGTCCTGGAGCATCACGGAAAGCAAAAGCTAAGGGTGACATTGTCGATTCGCGTGCGCAGGACCTTTAGCGGGGCGTGCGGAGAAGCGGCGTTGCGCCCGGCCAATGGGCATTGCCGGCACCGAGGGGGAGAAACGGGGCAAGGAGGGCCAATAGAGGGACGGACGAGACAGAGGAGGCTCATCTTTTCGTGCAAGGACAAGAGACTGCGGCGCCAATGGACCGCGATGCGGCGCCGAGAGGCCTGGGCGCCTACGTGAAAGGTAGACTCGATTGCGCGAGAAAATCTTGATTGGGCAGCTCATCTTGGCCAGCGTCCCCGATGTGGGTCATGAGGATGCTCTGGCCCTGGTTGTTGTGTGTAGCTGGGTCTCGAGACAACCCATTTCATGATAGATGATGGGGAGCAGCTCAGCATCACGGTGGCGGCCCTGTTCTGGGATTCCAACAGTTCTAAACGCTAAGCCATAACGGAATCTTCGGCAGTTGGTTGCCATTAAAGCAAACGCGTTGTTTTGCACGCATGTGGCACCAGCGGCGTTTGGAATGAGGAATCCCCTCTTCAAGAACCAGGACACAAAAAGGGACCAACAACAACATGAGCGGGAAGCAGGGCATGAACTACAGGCTGCGGGATTAGAAGATGACGTGGTGACTCCCTCCAGAAATGGGTCACTTGGGTCAGGCTCCTTCCACAGCATCCCGACCGACGAGCCTGCCACCATTGCAGTCTGGCACACGGGAGGCAAGGTGGAGCACAGGCACTCGCGTGACCATGACGCTGTCAAGGTCTTCAATGATCAGGACGATGACTCTGACGACAAGACAGATGTTGTGGGTTCTCCTTCGTACGGCACACCATTCTGGACGCCGGCCATAGGCGGGGAAAAGGAGGTCAGGAGTGCTCGTGCTGGACAAAAAGTGACGTCCATTCTGTTCCAGCACGATGACTGTGAGGGCAGGGCCAAACGCTGGGGTGCAAGGCCCATCCCAAAAGAGGCGCGTTCAGATCACAATAGTGGGAACTTGGGCAGACAGCGGGCGAGCCTGGGCGACCCTTGGTGCCAGGATGGTGGCAATTTGAGGCACCAGGACAGACATCAGGGCACCAAGTCGGGTATTGCATCTGGTGCAGCTACACGATCGATGGATGGAACAAAGATGGCAAAGAATGAGGCCCTCCCTGACAGGCTTAGAAAGGTTGGGGGTGGCCTGGCCGTGGGGAGCGGCCCGGCTAGAAATTGGCGTGCTCCAGCGGGAGGCGATGTGTTGGCCGGGGGTGACAGTGCGTCATCCCTTGCCTCAAAGGTTCCAGGCCAGCATGCACGCTTTCTTGCAGGTGAGGATGCTCAGGTGCAGCAGTTCCAGATGAAAGCTGGTGGGCCTGCCCCTCTTGGGAGCCAGTCAGACGAATGGCAGGGTGTGGGAGGCCTGAAGACAGGCGATTTGAAGCCGGGAGCGCAAGTGATGGGAGAGGACGTCAGGCAAGCGCTTAGAAATATTGTGCAGTGGGGAGCCGGAGCAGCTGATCGTGTGCCTGCTGCAGGGGGAAGATGGGAGAGCAGGGTGAAGGCAGGTAAGAAAAAGGCAGCCAACTGCCTGGCGAAACTCTGAGATGCAGCAGTGTCCTGTCTACTTGAGTGCAAGCCTGGAGGAGTGTCTGTTCTGAATGGGTGATTTGATGGGTGGGGTGTGTCAGCCATCATTCTCGTCAGTGAATGTAGCAGAAGTACAGGAGCACGCCAGTATAGGAAGGTGCATGAGCAGGGAATAGTTAGCATCAAGGGTTTCCAGGCATTCCAGTGTCGCCTATACAGTAGGTTCCCTATATAGAGCGCCCCCCATGACATGGTCAAAAGGGGTGTTATTTGGGGCCGGGCCTGCTATTGTGTTAAGGGGAGTTCACTAAGCATTGGCTGATTAGTTGAATATAAACAACAATGCACACCATCGGAGCAGCACACGCTGCCCTTTCTTTGCTCAGGGTCCCTGCACCGCACTTGTTGCCAATGGCTGTCATGCTGTCGACAACTGAACTCTGCCACAGTTTGCTGCTGTACATGATAGATTTGAGTGCATGCACTTGTCATATTGGTATATGTAATCTTTGAAGTTTGTCTTTTTTATGTGCTGCAGATCAGATGGTGCATGTGTTGCAACTACAGAAGGAGCTGGAAGCTACCAAGAGACGTGTCCACAGCTTGGAACAGCAGAATGAGGTGGGATGGCACTTATCCCACTTTTGCTGTCACACATTGCCCAGGACTACACAGCAGGGAAATGTGCAAGATCCTAGTGTCTGTTGATTGTTAAGGCGTGAAGGTGAATTAATCCTGGAGTGATGGGTGAAATTGCAGTGCCTGCATCTAAATTTGTAGCCATCATGTTTGGGATTTCTGGCAAGCAGCTTCTGGCTGCCTGAATTTGTACGCCTGAAATTCAGCCTCTTGGGTTGTGCTGATATTCCATCTGTTGTATTGGGGCAAGAGTGCCTCAGATCGTGACGAAGGCTTCGGCAGTGGCGCCCAGCGTGGTTGTAACTGCAGGACAACGGCTGGCTATGCAGGTCCATTCCATCCATACAATCGCAAAGGTCCTTGTCTTGCACATTGCGAAATGCATACACTGCTGCGGGAAGGCAAGCAGAGCCACTTGAAAACATCTCTTTGGAAGTAGAGAGTGCATGCAGCAATAAAGTATAGTGTTGTCACCACTTTAGTTAGCGTCTTGTGTCATATATTGAAAACAAGCAGTCCGTGGTTGATGTTGATGTGCAAAGCAAGACTGGGCTGGCAGTCTTTCTTTTCTCGAGAGCAGTCATGCCCAAAACCACCCTTAAAAGCTGCTGCTGCATTGTGTTGCAGAATCTTCTTGCCCAAGCCAAGGACATGGAGTTCCAGCTTCATGAGTTTAGCAAAGACACACAGGTGCACAACCACTTGTTATATTCTGGCTTGGATTCTGCACTCAGTCGGGCAGATTGTGGCAGACTGTTTCAAGATGCAAGTGCAGACTTTGTGGTGGTGCTGAGTGGGTATTCTGTGGCATTGATTGGCATTGCTACTGAACATTTGGGCAGTTGAAAAGTCGGTCACTGCAAATAGTACCTTGCTTTGCAAACAGTGCCTTTCACCTTGCTGGATGTCGAAACCACACCATGAGGGCTGGTGGAACAGCTTGCAGAGAAAACCAAATTTGTAACACAATGTGTTGACACGTCAGCTGGATCATGCATTTGTGCTCCTTTGAATTCTACCAACCCTGTGGCAGAACAGCACCTCCACTGGCTGGAACACATACTGATTCCTGCCACCCCACGTCCATCATGTAAGCTCTGTGCTTTTGTTGCCCTCCTTGTGTTTACATTGTTTGGCTACCCTGCCAAACTAGGCACAAAGTAGGCAGGGACCTGCAACACTTGTGTCTGTGAGCAGCGTGCAGTATCATCCAAGTGCAACAGCTGACATTGGTCAGTCATCCTTGGACAAGTGCACTCCATTAGAAATTCTACCTGTCTGTGCTGGAAACAGGAAGCTAGCCAGGGCTTCATGCTCACAGGCACAAACATAAGAATGCAGCTGTCCTGGCAAGACGAGAACGAGCTGGCGAGGCTTCGGCAAGAGTTTGAGGTTGAGAGGCTGAGAGGCCGAGAATCGCTTATGCACCTGGAGGCGGAGCGCAAGAATCGACAGGACTGTCAGATGCAGCTGCTGGAGCTGAAGTCCATGTATGACGCAGCCTTGGAGAGTAGCCAGAGTGCCCAAGAGGCAGCAAGGAACTGGGAAGAGCAGGCAGCAGAGTTGCAAACGAAGGTGTGCTGGACTGCCAACAGTGTGGATGGTAACTGTTGTGCTGTCCCAGCGATTTCGTCTGCTGAGATTTGACAAGAACTTTTTCTCATAAAATGCAGTGTCCTTTCATGTTTGGGCGGCAGTGTGTGCCATTTGCAAGTGCAAGCATTGATCCCTTGCATACAGTTCCCAGCCACTCTCGTGACACACAAATTATTGGGAAAGATTGAATTGTGCCGAGGAAAGCTGGTCCAGGGAACCATTTGGGTTGGATTGATTGGATGTACAGGCTATGCCTTTGATATATAGCGTGTTCATCGTGCAGAGAATGTTCACACGAAGGATGGCACACTACTTTTGTGTAAGTCATCTTCACATTGCTGTTGCAAGGGCAATTTTGGGTGAGCTCTGACAAATGCATATGAGCAAATTTGTTCAGCCTTTGTGTCAAACCACTGGAATTGCTGTCCGATATTCAATTGTGTCAAATGCTATGGAATAGTCCAATGAATACAAGAGTCGTTCATGTCAAGTTATTAATGGGATGCCTGCAGTTGGATGCACATATTGCCCAGCATAGTTTGAATTCCCATTGTGCAGGCAGCCAAATTCCTGAAATCTGGCTTTGTATTCGTTGGAAAGGCTGCCTGTACACTCTGAACGCAAGCCCAAACCAGTGCCCATAAAAAATATGCTGCCAGTCTACAGCAATGACTGTTGCAGTCAATATCGAATCGCAAATTTTAAGCCCATCGCCGCCCACAGAGGCAGATGTACAAGGTGCCACACCCACAAGTCCGCGGGGGCATGCTGCCACCATGACTTATGTCGGGCCAGTATTCAGCCCCAGCTTCATTTCTCTCCCTGTGCACATGGTTATTTTAAATATCGGAATGGCAACCCTGTGGCATATCTGGATTTGTTTTGAAGTGTGTGTGTCGATTTTGTGGCTCAGTTGAAGGCGGCTGAACAGCGCAGGTTACTATCAAAGATGCCAATCCACAAGGAGAACCACTTGCGACTGCCAACTATACGGGAAGCACAGTCAGCCAGCCGAGTAGGTGGTCAAGCCCTCGATTCAAACACAGCTGTATTAGTCTAAGCATCGTCAACTTTTTCATTTCTGTTCATTGTTAATGATAGTGTCCATTGTTTGCATGTGTGAATACGTCATCAATCCCAGAATTTGTAGCTGCACGACACATTCCGGGAATTGAAGGCACTGCTCCAGGACCATGGGATCAACAGGAGAAACACAAGCGAATACAAAATAATGGCACGAACGTGAGGGCTCCTTACATGCGTTTGTGTCCAGGAGCTCTCAATATTATTGATCTGTACCCTGCTGGACATGGAATGTTGGCTTGTGTTTGGAGGACTCCAGGAGAATAGCTGAAGCATACACATTTGCGGCTGTTCGCATTTTGGTACCTTGCTCGCCTTCATGTGGACAACCCTGCTGTCTGCCTTCCACAGTTTGCAGCAACTCCTGGCAATTATTTCCAAAGTCACGAAATGCTATGAAAGAGTATGTTTTCCACCATCTGTGTTCTTTTCATCAAGAGTTCTAGGATGCTTGCAATGTGTCTTTTTTTTGTGCGTTTCGCTTTTGTTACGTGTACAGCCCGCCAACTGGCCATATTGAAAACAGTACAGAAATGAAAACACGCTTCTGTGATGTGCAAAAGGGACCAATTTCGGCGCAAAATTCCTTTTGGCATATGGCAGCCCTACTAAAAAAGGGGCCACAGCAAACCACCCCATAGCATTTTTTGACCTGTGTCTGTATTGGTGTGCGATATCTTGCTTTGATTACCAAATTCCAGGCACCATGATTGAGTCCTCTTGCCAACTCTCATACTGCTTGGATACAAACTATTTCCGCAGCCTGACTTGCTCTGCTTCAGCCCATGACCAGTCCGCAGGCTGCATTAGGTGGTGAACTGTGACATCCATTTGTGGCCAACACTTTTTAACGCTTAACAGTCTATTGTCTGTATGCCATTACATTGTCTTCCAACGTTACGTTGAGTCCTTTGATCGCATTTCTCAAAAGTAATTAAACACTGCCCATGCACTTAAAAAACAATGATGGGCATGAGTGCACATGCCCAGCGCCTGAGTTTTGAGTGTTGTCTTCAGATCTGCCACAAATTCTCACAGTCCAAATATAGCCGCAATCACAAAGCTTACTTCATCGTGCGTTTGACCACCATGTTTGGCACCCTGGCCCGCAGACATTTCCCACCACTGATGGGTTGTCGTGTTGCACTTCATGTTGTGTCGTTGCCTTGTTGTACTCTGAGCTTGCTTGCCTTTGCCACCGCCTCAGATACCCAAATGCTCCAGCAGTGCACCTGAGTCGGTGGCCAAAAAGCGCCGGTTTGGCTATGTTTCTGGGCGCCAGCTGTAGAAATCGGCAGGCTGTTATGTCCAAGGCTCAATCTTCAGGTGACCTGGGGTTGGACTGTGCCATGGGCACAACACCGTTTGGTTCGTTCCGCCAAGTTGCAGTGGGACACAGTTTGTATTGCTGAGCATTCCGAGTATCCAAAAGGTTACTTGTTGCCATGTGGCGCAGTGGCTGGACAATGACAGGCGTGCATGACGCTGTGTGCTGCTCTTTTGACCATATGGTAGACGTGGTTTCTGTCTGAGACTGCACGGTTGGCATCCTGCATGCATTGTTGGCCTTGTTCCTTTCTGTTAGCCATCGTTCCTGATTACGCACTGTATGGGACTGGTTGCTCGCTTGCCGTGCTAATGTATGTGGGTTGGGCAGGGAATGTCAACTGTGTCAGTTTCTGACATTGCTTGCTGTCGATCTGATGAAGGGGGTTCGCAGAAACGGAATCCGGAGGATGCTGGGGTGAGGGATGCTCGCGGCGTTGCTCTGCGCACATGCTCAGGCATCTGAATGTGCTCGGATTGGGGACTGATTGGGGAATATGATGGCATCTGTGCAAAATGGAAAGAAATTAGCACTTTTGGTGAGACAATGGCGCTCTCTGCGACGCTGGCAGTTACAAATTTTTAATACGTTTTGGTTGACACAAGGACACTTTGTTTGAAAATCCAGTGGAGGCTGAAGCTGTATATCAGACAGACACTTTCGTGGTGTGCCAAGCTTTGGTCTATCGGCATTGAACAGCCGTCGTCCCTTGAGATGTGCAAGGGCTTGCTTTGTCAAGCTATTTCGACGGCTGTTATTAATGGGAGTCCGTAGAAAGCATTCATGAATCGCTTGAACTGAATTGTCAGTGGACAGGTCAAGTTACGCAAACCGTTCGCGGTTTTCGTCTGTGCGTGGCCACCCTTGGCAATGAGGACATCGGTTATCACAGGAAGGGAATGTGGAGAACGTCTCATGAGACGTCGTTGCTGATCAGCAATAACAGTGGACAGCGTGACAACGTGGCATTGGGCGATATGGTGGCGCTTGGGTTGAAGTTGGCGCCGGTCACAATCCTTGCTTGGCAGGCGACCGATCAGAATTATGAACTTGAGCCCACTGGCTGATGCGCGTTGTGGGTCCAACCCATAATGTGTGGCCCCGAGTCTTCTACAGATGCCAATTCGAATTTTCACTTGATCACAGTGGGCGCAACATGATATCTACCGCTACATAGGCTTTGTGCACACTTGCTTGATGTCTTGGAATTTCTCCTATCCTAAATAACGTGCTTCCAAATGAATCAGAAATCTGAAGGTGCTACGGACCTCGATATCCCACGACCCCCACCCCCTCCACACACATTTCCCCGTGACACACAGCCATTGAGGTCGACGTGAACGAGTCAGCAACATGGCAGCCTCTCAGCCGCCGTCACCACTTCAGTTCGAAGTCCTTGCTGCCGTTCCGCACGGCCATGGTCGCCAGTAGGCTGGTAGCGGCATCTGGGCCTATTTGATTTCCTCTGAGGTCCAGCGTGGACAATCGCAGACCATCCCTGCTCGAAGCACCAAAAATGTGTGATGTCAGAGTTAGCAGTGTGCATCCAAACGGGTTGACAACAGAGCGCCCCAAATTTGCTGCCTGGCGTTGTTTGGTTAAACTCTGAGCAGTGCTCCATCTTGCATCATGTGGCAGATGCTGGGTCTTTTGCAGGTATACTTGAAGCAACATGTGCTTCAATGTGTGGCAAGTGTATTTGTAGCTCAAGCTGATGGCGTCGATATTTTTCGCCACGTTTATGCACACTCATCTAATCGACAAGAACACCACAAGAAGCCAGGATGACTCAGCAACATTACCTGACAGTGGTATTCAATTTCCAGGTGTTTTTAAGGAATAAAACAATCAAAGTTCTGCTGATTTAGCGGGTTTAACTTTGGATTCTAAATGCCATTCTAGGTGAGGCGGGCAGCCTCAATGGCTGCAAATTGATCCATTCTAAGGATGTCTTTGTAGATCAAGCACTTGCAGGAGCCTTAAGAACATGTCATGGGTTCTTTGCCACATATCAGTGGGAGTTTTAAGCACCTTCCCTCTTTATGTCGATTTTTTGGCAATTACATAATCTCTTAGCATCACAGGTCTGGAAACCCCTCCCCCCTGCTAGCGTCAGTTTGATGCCAAGCGTACCAAAATCGACATAATGACTTCCCTAAGAGCTTAACATCAAATTGACACTAAGCGGACCAAAACCGACATGGCATCTTCCCTTAACAAGCGTGCCCTCTAAGTTTTACTGTTCCCTCCATTGATGCAAAACAAGAGACAGCATTCGCAAGAACGAAACACTCGGGGCCAGAAGGGGACACTGAGTTATTCAACCACTTTTCTCCACGAGCCGAGTATGCGGGCATGAATGGTACATCTCAAAATACCCTTGCGGGGCAGCTGCCATAAATGGAGGCCCCTCCAAATTGACGCCCATGGGGGAAGAATGGAGACATATTCAACAGCGCCTCAGTGTTCTTTTCACCCTTTGTGTCAACAACAGTTTTCACTCCGCTGCTTATGCCCGCCAGCAGGCTCACGGTATTTACCACTTGATGAAGACAGCAGGAAACAGGGGGGCATCATCGCTATTGATACTTTCGCGACGACACCTCGGCGCACCTCAAAATTTGTGCCATAGAGCTGGCGCCTGCCGGGGTGATCCCGTTGGATATCATCCCGACGTGGGCCAGCGAGGCGTTCCCCCTAACGCCCTTCAAAAATGCCGAAGCTCCGACGTCCCCGAGGCAGCAGTCAGAGCCGAAAACAAGGTTGGACAGGGTGGCGTTTCTCGAAATTGCGTTTGCTAGCAATTCAATTTGGACGGTTGAATTGCACTGCCGCACAGACAAGACACGAGGGCGAGTGTCAGAGATTCTGCTCTCTACGAAAGGCACGCGTCTTCATGACAACAAGTGTTTTCCATCCGATTTCATCACTCCAGTCCGTTTGACAAGCCCACGCATCGAATTTCCAGCATACTGCAGAACATCCCAGCACCGCAGAAAGAGCTGCTAAATTCTGCCCCTACCTACCCGATTGGCCGCAAGGGCGATACGTCAGCAGAGGCCGATTGTCACGCACCAGTGACGGTAATTCACCCGCTCCTGAGAATTGTTCTATATTGATTTCTGGGTCGCCATGATCCCACCACGTTGGGGTAACCAGGGGATGTCAGTTTTGCTGATGCCGGCCTAATCTTCCCTGGAGGCAGGAATGATGAATGCCGTAGAGCAACATCAATGCACCAAAATCGTACTTCAAAAATGCGATCTTGCATTGCACAGGTATTATGAGCAAGGATGCTGCAGTTTCGTGCAACGATAGTTCAGTAGACGGATTTATCCGTGATTTGGGCACATCGGTTGGTCGTAGACGTCCAAAGCTATAGACCTCTACAGAAGTCAGATTATAGGCTGAATTTCCCAGTAGCTTTGAGCAAACCACTGCGCGCAGCGCCAATGCGGCAGCCATGAATCTTCCAACTTTGGGCACATGGCACAGCCGGCTTCGCGCCTAACGAACTACACTGGGAAACACTGCACTGACGGGCTAGATGTCAGAACTGCACTGAGCCCTAAACGCCATGCTATGGCCCGTTGTTCAACAAAGCAGTTGCGGGACACATCCTACACGGGCACCACGGCAATTGCTTGCACAAAGGGTTGAAGGGAACCGATTCGACGCAAGCCCACTGCTGACCATGCATGCCACTGCCCTTAAGTCCAATTTCAGCCTTCTAGCTCCGACACGTACCGTGTAATCTGACACTGACTCCATGAAGCATCCGTCGCATGGCAGGTGATGTACGTCCAGCACTTTGATTTTCACTTTCGATCGTTCATCTTTCAGCCAGGCCAGTAGCTGACCCCACCACAAGGGGTCCATGTACCTGTTGTGACTTTCGTACGACCAAATGCTCTGGACCCGCAGGTCCACTTCGAGAGCCTGCGCACATGAGGCCCAGATCGTTTCAAAAGACAGCATGTCAACAACCTGACAACATCCATAGCAGGAACAGAAAAATGCAAGAATGAGAATGCAGTGACGAAAAAGACAACATTTCGAGAATGATGCTGATCAGAAAATGGTATTGACGAACGGTACCGAGAGTCGGCACTGGGGTCCTGAGTTCAGCATGGTGGCTCTGGCAGGCAACATTGGCGCACTCCTGAATCCGCTCATTTGATGCACCATTTTGCGTCGTGTTGTCCTTCGCAATGCAGGCGTTGCGCTCCTTCCGATATGCATGCAAGGATGCATGCTCACAAGGCTCAAATGCGCTTGTCAGCTTACTATTGTGCTTCCACGGCATGTTCCAATGTCCAAGATACTTGGGGCCATTTTATCCCCCACAATCACGCAAAGAAAGCGGACACCTCTTTCGCATCCAAGTGACATGTGTACTGCTGTCGTTCGTATTCGTAGATTGCAGGTACATAAAAAGCAAACATTCTTGGCAATCCAGCCAGCGACGATGACAAATGCGCATGTTCTGTGGAATTCGAGGAAGTACATTTGTGCGCGAACTGGTGATTTGCGTTAAACTACTTGAAGCAGCTGGTGTTGCGTCTACAACCACCATCAGGACGACCCGCCCTTTCACCCAGTTGTACAATGTAGCAAGAACCAGCAGCCATGCAGAGACAGTGCAAGAGTTGTTCCTGCGTGAAGGCAGCCACCAAGAAATGGCGCCAGCCTCGAATTGAAATGCAATCCTCGTATCCAAACTCTAAGTTCCTGGAATCTCAGAGCACCACCTGCTCCTTCTGGAGCGGTGTCTTTGCAACAACAGAAAAATTAGCAGGCGAAGCAGCCCTTGTAGTCGTTACAAACATACATGATATGCCAAAGGTACCGTATGGCGCTAGGTTAGCGGCAATTTGCGTCGATATTCTTCAGCATGCGCAACTATGCACAACTACGCACTGGGCAAACGCACCACTGCTACTTCTGCTATTGTACTGACTGGCAGCGTTTGTCAAAGCGGACATCTGTCCTGCGTCAGGCCAGCAAATTTACCATCAGGCTCTTGCCAAACTGCTGAACCACCCTCTGCATGTAGGGGAAGTCCTTGCAGTGGAAGAAGAGCTGTGAGTCGGTCATGTTGGACCACAAGCCAGAAAGCTGCAGTCCACACACACAGTGCATCTTGATGGCGTTGTTACAATTCCGTCAGCAAGGGCGTAGCTAATCGACTGCTAAGCCTCCTGACCGGTTATGACAAGCAGTGTGAATGTCCACAAAGGCATTCGCTTGCTGACTTTCGGGTTTTGTCGCACAAGTGATCTGCACCGGGAATTGACTGTTGGTCACAAAACAAATCGAGGCAGTGCTGTGTTTTGCGCATTCATTGTTTGTGTTTCAACAGTGACGTGCTTGTGATCTATTTTCACATCAGGAAGGCATTGCCTGAATGGAAGTATTATCTACAGCTGCCTTTTTGCTGCTGAACCATTCCCCAGAGCTGTAATAAACATTATGGTTGTTTTGCTGTTCTTATTCATGGCACTCTTCACTGCCTGGTGCTTACCATGCAGTGCACTGCCTATCTCTGACAAGAGGCAAAAGAGGAACTTCACAGCCCAACCTACCAATTCATGCAGATTTTCTGCCAAGGGGCCCAATGTTGCCCTTTAATGGATGATGAACTAGTCTGCCTAACCCCCAGCAACTCAACGGCCCTGGCCATGGATGCCATTCAAACGCCATGCCGGCTCAATGCATTGGGCCAGTATGGATTTGTTGGATTCGCCATCAATGTGCACAGCATTCCCTCCAAAGCCGTGGCCATGGATCGTTTTGGAACAATAGAAATGGGACAGTGGGCAGCAGTTTTGTGCAGGGTTTGGACAGAATCCCCCCCACATGCCCTATGCAGAAAGAACAGCACCAAATTCCTGATCCAGCTTGCGGGATGGGGACCTCAAAACCCTTTCCAGCGTTCCACCCTGATGGCAAGCCAACTGAGATCCAGCTTTTCCATTTCCAGTGTTTCGCGCAGAAAGGAGGACGCAGTTGGCATCTCCTGATGTGCAACAGTATTGTGGGGCAAACTGCAGGGAGCAGCTGGTACCTTGAGGTACTCCAGGACGGGACAGGACGCCAGCAGGTCCAGCAACTTGAGAGGCGAGACCTGTCGAAAGCTGCACCCCGCAAGGTCGATCGAACGGAGCGCGGCGGGCATCGGCCACACGTGACCGGGCGGCCGCAGGACGCGCGGTCCCATGCTGTGCTCCACGAGCTTCTCCAGGACGTCCTTGTTCAGCTGCGCAATCCAGGCGACCGGTGGTTTTGGGTCAGGCGTCTGGGATGCGACGACAGTCACAACGGCGATGCGGAGCCACAACGACCACGAACAAGGCTGCACTGGCGCCAACGGGCGCTGGGAATTTGGTGCAGTATCCAAAGCTGAAGGGGGTGGAGATCGATGAGCGCCTGTTCATCGCTTCTGGCTTCAGTCGCTCCGCCTTGGCGCGGGTTCTTTGAGCTGCGCGTTGCGCCCCGGCCAAGAATAGAATCACAAGGGGAATGTCGGAAAGCTTTCGCAGGGGCCAGCAGTTGTGCGTCCCGCCCATTTAAAGAACCCCGTCCATCCCAATAGCCGCACACTACCCCTCCCTGCCCCGAAAGGCGGCCTTGACCAAACGCTGCGACACGCCGCGGCCCATCCCCGCCCGGTCGTCATCTCACCAACACGAAATCCGCACCGGGACGACTATGGACCCAATCGACCGAAGGCAAGCGCGTGGGCGCGCGAACGCCTCCAGGTACAGCCGCGGCTCCTCTCTGCACCCACTGTTCCATCCCGGGAGCCAGCACGGCGATTCCCTCGCCGTGAAGATGACTCGAGGCGCGCCCTTTGCGACATCCCCGCACCCGCTCCCTCCGCATTTTCGCGATCCGGTTTTCATCCCCACACTCCGCACGCAACCACCCACAAACCATCCTCGCATCCCCCTGGTCCTCTAGAGACCAACCGAGGCCGCATGCTTCAAGCCTTCCCATTCGCGCCCAACGCCGTGGGATCCAACACTCTAGCGCCCACCTTGTCCTTGAACTCCGGCTCGTCTCCCAGCGCCAGCCGCCTCCAAAGTCGCCTGGCCCTCAGCAGGCCGTACCATCGGCGGCAAACGCGTTCCAACGCGATCCTCTGCCTCACAGACATAGCCTCGAACACGGGCTCCCAGAACCAGTCGTCCAGCCGGCCCAGGGGCGAGCCGTCGGTGCCGGCGCAGCAATCGCCCTCGCCTCGCGGATCGCCGCGGGCTGGGTCCGCATCGCGGCTGTCGCTGTGGCAACCGCCGGCCGTGCAGTGCCGGCTGGAGGCCATTGGCGGGGGTGGCGGGGCGGGTTCAAGTCTGGTGCAGGGTGGCGCAGGGGGGAAGGGGAGGGGGCAAGGCGCGTGAGTCAGGCGCCGGTTGCTGTCAGCGCGCCCTTGGCGCTGCGGGATGAGCGCCAACCGGCGTACGACGTGTGGCAGTACAAGCGACTGTACGATACAGGGGCGGCTGTCATCGTCGTTGTTTGCGATGCCCCGGTGGATTCATGCAACGGGCCGCTCTGACATGACCGGTCGTTGTGCCGCACCCTGCCAACCCTTCTTTTTCAGTCGTTCAGGCAAGGTCATTTCTCTTCGGGAAATGCGCACTTCGGGAAGTGTGTATCAAGGCGAGGAGGCCGCCGTCAGCTCTGCGTGTTGGCTGAGAAAGCAGTGTCCGCGCACACCAGCGAACTGCGCACACAACATCCATTGTCCACCAATTTCTAATCTCCCATAAAGGCGATAATACACTGAAAGAGCTGTTACTGATTTACCCCATCAGTCAGTAAAGGAGGCCCCGAATATTCGCACAATGCTCCAGTTATCAAGGCTGGAGTGTTAACACCCCTTGTCTGGCGTAACACGCAATTATTCGAATGCACCATTTACTGGTGTTCGGGTCACCAATTAGTGGGGCCATCAAAAAAATAGTAAATTAATGATATCACTCAGCTGGTGACCAGTGAGGTCCAGATATGGTGCAGAGGGGATGTCGACGGCCACAGCAACTTCGCCGCACTGATCATCATCAAGCAGGTTGGCGCTCAATGAGGTGGGAAACCCCCAAGCCATCAGCCAGACGTCCTACATAATTTTCTGGTATTGCGAGCTCAAGGCACTCAGAACGCAGGGAGATGGCTTTGATGAAAAAGAAAGACTATGACAACTTCATCATACGCCCAAAGAATTCACTAAGATATCACAAAGATGCTGAGCATAACGCCAATACATGGTAGCGCATCACACGGAGACACATGAGTCAGACACGCCCGGAAAACGCCTTGGAAGGCTGAGGAGCACCCAGGTTGCCATTGGACGCGTGCGTTTGCCTAGGGGCTGCCCGCTTGGCGGTCTCCCATGGACCGTGGCAAGACAGAGCCAGGAGGGGCGCGTGGAGGCGCCACAGGGTTGTTTGATGGAAATTGCCCCGTGGGGCATTACGTGGTTTCTGACCACGGGAAGTGTGGCTGTTTGATGGGAATGTGGCACTTGGGGCATTACTTGGCTGATTGCGGGCAGTGGGGCGTACCAGGTTGAGTTGCGGTGAAACGGCGGGTGTGGCAGAAGGATTGCGGGTTTTTGAAGGAAAGGGCGTTGATGCGATTCAAACGGCCCTCTTTGGAGTGCACACGGGAATCGCGAATCCACGATCGCCGATGCTTCAACGGCGTTGGTACAAGGCCAGACGCAAGGCCACACCACACACAACACGCCCAGGGCTTACATACCTGTTCACCCTTTCCACAGCGGAGAGCCTTGCCGACGGTGGCAACGACCCCCGCATCCGAACAATTCGAATTTTCTAGCACCCACAGAACTCTTCTTTTGACATGACAACGACCATCATCTATCAACAACTAGCCATACAACACTTCAGATATGCCTACGCATTGCCACAATGCAACCTACTTTATAAAACATATGTCAAAAGTGCCCATAAACTCAGAGGTAATGTACATTGTATATTTGTCAAATATGTACAAGCCGCACGCCATAATGCATAAGTGATCCACCTAGTAAAACGGTGGTCATTATGCAGTGTTGCGAACAACCAAAAGGTGTTGCGAACAATCAGAAGAGCACCTCTTGGGAATGGGGGTATTTGCCAGAGCTTGGGGGGTTACAAGTACTGGGGGCGTGGCGAACGCTGAAGAGAACTCTGTATTGTTGCACTCGGCCCGGCAGCTGTAAGGACGGATGCGCGGCGTTCGCGTGTGCCTCTCGCGGCGGTCTGGGCACTCAGCCTGGCTGCCTGACTCCCCTGTCTGTCTGCGCAGCGTTCGCCACGGCCTGAGCGCAATAGCGCTCAACCTTTTCGAAGGTCGCGGCCTGTCTGTGCCTTTTCCGAGCCGTTTGCCTTGCCGCTCAAGACCAACACTGCCAGCGCGGTCGTGGTGCTGGCCAAAAGTGACCAACCTTCGTCGCTGCACAGCTTCGTTGAGGCGGAAAGAAGCATCTTTCGTGTATTGTATCGATACGTTGCGGACAAGGCTGCCCCGACCCGTGGGGCTGACCTGTGCCCTGACCTCGCTGACCTTTGGGGAGTGGCTACGACCGGTTGTGGCGCTCTGGGGGGCAGTTGTGAGAGGTTCTGCAAGTGCGCTTGCACTCTTGACGGCCAATTGGATGTTTGCCGCTCGTCTGAAGCTTCCCTTGCCGTCGCTGCCAATTTGGGTCGTTGACATCGTCGCGGCAGGCAGTTCTTCGTGAAGAGCCAGTTCGCGCGAGGGGCGAAGCTTGTTCGTTGAGTGCGCCCTCAACTGACGTGGTGCTGAGGCTATCGACGTGGCTCAGCTGGTCGTTCAGGGGTGATTAGACTGCGCTCTCTGCAGGGATGACGGTCAGAATGGACCACCGTCCTTTACACTGGACAAACTGTTGTTCGATTGTTCGATAAACCGCACACTGACAGGCACCTGGAGAGTTGCCAACATCAACGACAGAAGACGATCACCATCCGCCAGTAAGCTTTGCACCCCGTGATGCAATCATGGCAGAAGAACTTGCGAAATTGCCATGGACTAAATCCACGAGGCATCACCAGCTTTAGGAACCAAGAAGTGTAACCTGTCATCCAAACTGCTGGGCCCCTCTGCCTCTCTAGGGCGCTCGCCGTGTCGCTCTCACCCACCCGTCCATGTGCTGTACATTGGACACCAACATGAACATGTGTCCAAATATGAAAACACGATTGTTGGTCTTCGCGCTTTGTGCACACCAGAGGTTTCAATGCAATTTTCCTTCCCCTCAGGTCCACCAATTCAGCTCTCGACAGGAACAGTCCGTTGACAGGCGCTGAGCTCAATACGCAAGTGGTGCGAGGTATTGAAGAGCAGCAGTTGCCGACCACGTCAAGCACTGGAAGGACTCCGGAACAACGCAATGTACATTTACATCATTCAGTTACAGCGCAGAAAAAAACGAATGCAGTATGCACACAATTCAAGCCAGCTGACCTCTGCTATGGTCTATGAATTGAAATCTGAGGCTCATCCGCGGCCAAACTAAGAGCATTAAGAGCGTTCACAGTCAACGTTCATGATAGGCACATTTCGACGCCGCACTCCCGTGCCTTGCATCGCGTGCTGAAGTGATATCAAGGCTACCACTGCACACGCTCCTTAGATGAGCGAATCATTTGGGATTCCTCCTTCCTGCCCCAACACAACCTTCCGCTCAATTCCCCCCTAACACACACACACACGCACACACACTGCAGCAGCCGATTCACGCAATATTGGCTAAACTCGGATTGGTCACGGCGCACTCGCCGACGCGACCCAATTCTCCTGCAGTTCTTCATCGATTCTGTGCACAGCCGCAAAGCGGGATAGCCGTCCCTTGAAATGATGCATCATCTTTTGGAACGCACATCTCAGCCCTGGAGGGTGCTCGCTGTGATGCTGGCACTGCATCACCGACTACCAATCCCTTTCCCACATTTGGACATGGGCCTTAACTCTCAGTCCAGGGCATGTTTGCAAAACTTTCAAGCAAACGAGCAAAAGAGCAAAAGAATGGGCAAAAGAGCGCCACAGCATCCACTCTCCCGTCTCATGCTTGAACTCTGCATTGGCACGAATATGTTGCCAACGTCGAGGCTTCCTTGCCAGCACCAACTCCATGTTCTTCTCTCGCAACTC